GTGTGTGTGTGTGTATATGTATATGTGTGTATAATGTATATGTGTGTGTGTGTGTGTGTGTGTGTGTGTGTGTGTGTGTGTGTGTGCGTGCGCGTGCGGGTGTGTGTATAATGTATATGTGTGTGTGTGTGTGTGTATGTATATGTGTGTGTGTGTGTGTGTGTTCCTTACAGTGGTGGTGGTGGAGAATGCTTGCGTAACCCTAGCAACAACACAAGACGTACAAATTTGGAGTATGGAGCCCGTGAGCAGTGCCAGCTATCCTATGGACCAAACTCTGTACCCTGCAGAGAGGATAGCGTAAGTACAGTCATGTGACAGGATTACATCATGGCATTGTGATGATTACATCATCAATTCAGCTCTAGTAGATGTGTTGTGGACCAAACTCTGTACCCTGCAGAGAGGATAGCGTAAGTATAGTTACCGTAAAAGCCTGTGTATAGTCCCCGGGCGGATAGAATAGCAGCCTCGATTTCCTGGGCGTATACAAGGCGCGGGCATTATTTCGGAACCGGGCGTATACTTGGAATAGGGATAGCAGTAAGTATTGGGTATCAGTACCTGTACATGTACTGGTGTTGCCGGCATACCTGGGCGTATACATGGGCATGGGCGCTATTTTGAAACAAAAGTGTTGACTTCCCCTGACTGGGCGTGTGCACGGAGGATGGGCGTAATTTCGAGTAGGCGTATACAAGGGGCTTTTACGGTATGTGACAGGATTACATCATAGCTTTGTGATGATTACATCATCAATTCAGCTCTAGTAGATGTGTTGTGGACCAAACTCTGTGCGTTACAGAGAGGATAGTGTATGTCTAGCTATGTGACAGGGTTACATCATAGCATTATACGTGTAATGATTACATCATCAATTCAGCTGTAGATGATATGCTACGGACTTTGAAAACTCTGTACATTGCACATAATTGAAGTTTTTTGTGTGTACGTGTGTGTGTGTACGTGTGTGTGTGTGTGTACGTGTGTGTGTGTGTGTACATGTGTACGTGACTGTGTGTGTCTGTATGTGTCTGTGTATTTATGTGTGTGTCTGTATGTGTCTGTGTATTTCTGTGTGTGTCTGTGTATTTATGTGTGTGTCTGTGTATTTATGTGTGTGTGTGCATGTGTATTTATGTGTATGTGTGTGTATGTGCACTGTAGAGCATGTGTCAATCTCTGTGGTGCACAACAAACAACAGAGAACGTTGCACAATGCGCTCTCTTCCACCGTTATCTGGCACACCATGTCCTCTACATTCCAGTAATCCACATGTCAAGGATGGTGTGAGTAATGATAACAATGACCAACTGCATTCTAGACAAGTCTTGCTTGCTTAGCAGTTCAAGCTGTTCAATATCCACCTATGTATTCTCTTGTTTTCCCTCTCCCGGCCCTCCCCTTACCCTCTCCGCACGCAACTTATATTCTGCGTGTGTCTGTGTGTGTCTGTATGTGTGTGTTTGTGCATGCATGTGTTCGTTTGTGCATGCATGTGTTCGTTTGTGCATGTGTGTGTGTGTGCATGTGTGTGTGTGTGTGTGTTTTTTTGCATGCATGTGCATGCGTGTGCATGCGTGTGTGTGTGTGTGTGTGTGTGTTTGTGCATGCGTGTGTGTGTGTGTGTGTGTGTGTGTGTGTGTGTGTGTGTGTGTGTGTATGTGCACCTGCCTGCCGGTCTGTTGTTCTCTCGGTGTTCCAACCATGTTAGGTGTGTCACAGAGGCAACTGTTTACCGCCCCAGTCTCTTCAACCAGTGGATGGCGGTTGGAATGATTGGTCGGAATGGGGTGCATGCTCACTGACGTGTGGTCGTGGGATACGCAAGCGTGATCGTCAATGCACTAACCCGGAGCCAGTGAACAATGGCCAGTACTGCATTGGTGAAAGGGCACAGTACAGGTTCTGTGTAGAAGCAGATGTAAGTCATAGTCTGGTGTTGGCATGACTACCAGTGCAATGATATCTACTATGATGTGTTAAGCTTCGCTCACAACGATGTCAGTTTTGAATGCTCCTGTCTGATGATCGCTACAGTGCGTGAAACAACAAGTTTCAGCTGACCAGCCCTTTTTGTCTCTGGAGTTGGTGTATATTGCTCTGTATATTTGTGTGTTGAGCACTGGATTTAAGCTGCATCAACCAGCACCAGGCAGGCACAGTGGGTTGGTCAAAGACCATGATTGAGATACGAGAGGTACCTGGTTCAAGTCCTGCCTGGGAGCAGTTTTTCCAGCCGTGCTGCTACCCACAATCAACTGGGAACTTGTGGCCAGGCACAAGGGGTACATGGATGCAGCTAATGGGGTCGTTTTCGGCACTTGTGCCAGTGGTTGTGAGACTTACCAACTCACCCCCACCGTTAGGCGCTGCATCTGCCGCTAGGGTTTATCGGGTGTTAGCGGCCGTCGTGAGTTCCCTTCGGGAACGGACACGATAATTTACTTTACTTTAACCAGCAGCACTATTGTTCGTCTAGTTTTCATGGCTGGAGACTTGTATTGCCTGTGTGTGTTTTGTGGGCAAAGACAACTAGCAACACGACCTTGTTGCTTACAAGAATGCTGAACACAATGTTACCATGTCCTTACCGTACCACTAACCACTTACCACTTACCACTAACCACTGACCACTAACCACTAACCACTTACCACTAACCACTGACCAGGGGCGTTGGAAGGTAGGTTAGTGTGGTACGGTCGGCCATTTGAAGTTCAATTTACTCGTGGTGGAAGGGTTGCCGAGCCGACATTTTTGGAAATTTAGAGCCCAGATCAATGTGTTTTATTGATTCACTGGGTACCTGGGGTAAAAAGTGGTACGGTCAATACCGTAGTGACCGCACCGTGTCCTCCGCCCCTGCAGTAACAACATGATAGATTGAGTACAAGAAGGGAAGGAGCAGGTCATGTCCACGTGACTGATTGAGTACAAGGGAGGAGGAAAGCAAGTCGACTGGACAGTTGTTAGTTCTCCTGTCCGTTGTCGTACAAGTAGCTAAGTGATAACTTTGGAGAACCATTGTTTCTTTATCCTCACCGCGGCCATCAATACATGGGTGGTGAGAAATGTAATATTTTGATATGCCACAGATATGCATGTCAAAGTCTTTCTATTGGGTTGTAATCATGTCCGTGCCTGCCTACGTGGATATGCGTGTGTTTGTGTATGTGTGGGTGTATGTGTTCTTGTGTTTGTGTATGTGTGTCCATGTGTGTGTGCCTGTGTGCACCCGTGTGTGTTTGTGTGTGTGTGTACGCGCGCGTGTATTTATGTTCATATTGCTTGTGTAGGTCCAGGATCAGTGTGGTTATGTGGATGGCGAGGCGTTATGGAAATATCAGTGCAGTTTCTTCGACTCATACCGGTTTGGTGATCAACTTGCTACTGCGAGGGATGGAAACTGGACAGTGCCAAACAATATCGTCACAAATAGTGAGCAAACCTTATGATTTCAGTTTGTTTATGTTTCCTTCTGAGTGGATTTCTTACTGCAACATTCGGATGCACAATTTTTCTTATTTTCTACCTGCACTGCATGTTTGATGTATGTAGTGTTCACACGCATGATGTATGCACACGGCACCGTTTGTGCTCCTATCCATTTACATATGCCGCTTTCCACGCCTGTGCTGACAGTCGGTACGCACTGACTCTGTACTCATGGACACACTGACTCTGTACTCATGCACTCACTGACTCTGTACTCATGTACTCACTGACTCTGTACTCATGTACTCACTGACTCTCTACTCATGGACGCACTGACTCTGTACTCATGCACGCACACCATTACATTCTGTGGGCATCATGTTGCGGAGCCTTCCGGAGCTCCGAGTTAGTTGTTGTTTGGACTAAGGCAAGAGAACAACGGTACATTGGCGCTGCGAGCAAACGCCTGATCCTCGCCATGCCCCTACTGCCACTACCGCCTCCGGAGCCATTCCCGATCAACAGGATTCTCTACGACGCTGCCGCCCGTTTTCCTGCTTGGCAATACATGTTGTTTGTGCCGACCTATACATCTATCTTTTCTATCTCTGCCTTTCTGTCTCTGTCTGTCTCTCTGCCTTTCTGTCTCTGTGTCTCTCTGCCTGTCTCTGTGTCTCTCTGCCTGTCTCTGTGTCTCTCTGCCTGTCTGTCTCTGTGTCTCTCTGCCTGTCTCTGTGTCTCTCTGCCTGTCTCTGTGTCTCTCTGCCTGTCTCTGTGTCTCTCTGCCTGTCTTTGTCTATATCTCTGCCTGTCTTTCTCTATCTGTCTACCTGTCTCTGTCAACAGTAGTAGCTAGCTGAATTACACGACAGGATCGATACTTGATACTGGCAGCTGTAAACGTTTTGATGGTCTGTCTGTGTGTGTCTGTGTGTGTGTCTCTGTGTGTGTCTCTGTGTGTCTCTGTGTGTCTCTGTGTGTCTCTGTGTGTCCGTGTGTGTCTGTGTGTGTCTGTGTGTGTCTGTGTGTGTCTCTGTCTGTCTGTGTGTGTCTCTGTCTGTGTGTGTCTGTGTGTGTCTCTGTCTGTGTGTGTCTGTGTGTGTCTCTGTCTGTCTGTGTGTGTCTCTGTCTGTGTGTGTCTCTGTGTGTCTCTGTCTGTGTGTGTCTCTGTCTGTGTGTGTCTCTGTGTGTCTCTGTCTTGGTCTGTCTGTGTGTGTCTGTCTGTGTCTCTGTGTGTCTCTGTCTTGGTCTGTCTCTTCATTTTATACAGGAAAACCAACCTGCTCTCTAGATTGCTACAATGGTCGACATGTGCGCACACTAGCACAGCACGTCATCGATGGAACACCGTGTACTTTTGATTCCAGTGACATCTGCGTCTCCGGTAGATGTGTGGCTGTGGGGTGTGACGGTAACCTAGCAACAGACAACGGCGATGGAAGCGGCACCGTGAAGAGAATGAGTGTATGTGGTCAGTGTGGTGGCAATAACTCTGCATGTGTCACGGTCACAAGGAGATGGCGGTCTTGGAGAGATGCGAGGCGTAAGTACACAGACTGTGTGTGTGTATTGTATGTATGGATATTGCGGAACTGTGTGTTGTGAGTATCTGTATTGTGTGTAGTAGCTGTGGAGTGCTGTGAAGTGCAGTGGAGTGCTGTGGAGTGCTGTGGAGTGCAGTGGAGTGCTGTGGAGTGCAGTGGAGTGGTGTGGAGTGCTGTGGAGTGCAGTGGAGTGCTGTGGAGTGCAGTGGAGTGCTGTGGAGTGCTGTGGAGTGCTGTGGAGTGCAGTGGAGTGCAGTGGAGTGCTGTGGAATGCAGTGGAGTGCTGTGGAGTGCTGTGGAGTGCTGTTCAGTGCTGTGAAGTGCTGTGGAGTGCTGTGAAGTGCTGTGGAGTGGTGTGGAGTGGTGTGGAGTGCAGTGGAGTGCTGTTCAGTGCTGTGAAGTGCTGTGGAGTGCTGTGAAGTGCTGTGGAGTGCTGTGAAGTGCTGTGGAGTGCTGTGGAGTGCTGTGGAGTGCAGTGGAGTGCTGTGAAGTGCTGTGGAGTGCTGTGGAGTGCAGTGGAGTGCTTTTCAGTGCTGTGAAGTGCTGTGGAGTGGTGTGGAGTGCTGTGTAGTGGTGTGGAGTGGTGTGGAGTGCTGTGGATTGCTGAGGAGTATTGTGGAGTGTTGTGGAGTGCAGTAGAGTGCTGTGCAGTGCTGTGAAGTGCTGTGGAGTGCAGTGGAGTGGCGTGAAGGAAGCTCTGCTCATTGCAGTGTTGAGCAGTGTGTACGCAGAGGGATATCACCCCAGTGTAACATATGCAGTGTTAGCATGTAGTGTAGGCATACCTTACTTCTACCTTACCTTACTTACTTCTATAGTATAGTGTACATGTACTGTATTGTCTGATGTGCTAACATGTATTGTATGGTCTGATGTGCTAACATGTATTGTATGGTCTGATGTGCTAACATGTACTGTATGGTCTGATGTGCTAACATGTACTGTATGGTCTGATGTGCTAATATTCCGTGAGGGTAGACTTATCTGATCATAAGAAATGAGCAGTACAATGTCTGCTTGCTCTGTTGCCACTGATCTTTCTCTTCCTTCTCTATGACTCTGACATGTATGTGTGCATGTGCATTTGTGTACGCTTGTGTGTGTGTGTGTGTGTGTGTGTGTGTGTGTGTGTGTGTGTGTGTGTGTGTGTGTGTGTGTGTGTGTGTGTGTGTGTGTGTGTGTGTGTGTGTGCACGTGTGTTATAGGTCAAACGGGAAGTGTTTTTGTCATGGCTTTGCCAGGTGGAGCTACAACTGTTAGAATTCAAGAGAAAGATCCCCTTGCAGAAACATTCATTGGTATGTCATTTGGTTTGCTATTTTCACAGCATGTCAGTGTGTCAGTGTGTCAGTGTGTCAGTATGTCAGTGTGTCAGTGTGTCCGTTTGTCAGTGTGTCAGTGTGTCTATTTGACCCTAGTTAAATATGTTATATGTGGATATGTCAGTGTGTCAGTGTGTCAGTATGTCAGTGTGTCAGTGTGTCCGTTTGTCAGTGTGTCAGTGTGTCTGTTTGACCCTAGTTAAATATGTTATATGTGGGTATGTCAGTGTGTTGGTGTGTTGGTGTTTGGCAGCATGTCAGGGTGCCCTTATTTGGTTAGGTCCATCATCACATTATGTCTGTTCCATGACAATCTCAGTGCTGCCAAATAACTTTCGCCCAAAATCGGACACCCTTCACCATGCACCACCAAGGCTGGCCACATGGTGCGTATTTATCTTTTCAGCAAATTTGTCCCGAGAATTCAAAATATCGCCCAAAATACCAAGGAAATTCGCTTCGTTGCCATGATAACCGATATGGCACCCCAAAGTTGTCATGAATTATTTTGTAATGCATGAGTGTGGTCACACACTGTACAGATAGTGCACAGACACTGCACAGACAGTGTACAGACAGTGTACAGACAGTATACAGACAGTGCACAGACAGTGTACAGACACTGTACAGACACTGTACAGACACTGTACAGACACTGTACAGACAGTGTACAGACACTGTACAGACAGTGTACAGACAGTGTACAGACAGTGTACAGACAGTGTACAGACAGTGTACAAACAGTGTATAGACAGTGTACAGACAGTGTACAGACAGTGTACAGACAGTGTACAGACAGTGTACAAACAGTGTATAGACAGTGTACAGATAGTGTACATACCATCCAGGCGTGTTATAGTACTTTTCACTTCCCCAGCCCAGCCCAGCCCAGCCCAGCCCAGCCCAGCCCAGCCCAGCCCAGCCCAGCCCAGCCCAGCCCAGCCCAGCCCAGCCCAGCCCAGCCCAGCCCAGCCCAGCCCAGCCCAGCCCAGCCCAGCCCAGCCCAGCCCAGCCCAGCCCAGCCCAGCCCAGCCCAGCCCAGCCCAGCCCAGCCCAGCCCAGCCCAGCCCAGCCCAGCCCAGCCCAGCCCAGCCCAGCCCAGCCCAGCCCAGCCCAGCCCAGCCCAGCCCAGCCCAGCCCAGCCCAGCCCAGCCCAGCCCAGCCCAGCCCAGCCCAGCCCAGCCCAGCCCAGCCCAGCCCAGCCCAGCCCAGCCCAGCCCAGCCCAGCCCAGCCCAGCCCAGCCCAGCCCAGCCCAGCCCAGCCCAGCCCAGCCCAGCCCAGCCCAGCCCAGCCCAGCCCAGCCCAGCCCAGCCCAGCCCAGCCCAGCCCAGCCCAGCCCAGCCCAGCCCAGCCCAGCCCAGCCCAGGCCAGCGCTAGTCTTTTAAGAAGTACATGTACACTGTCCAGTGGTTTGTGCCTTCAGTTGCTCTGACAACTGAAAATACAGGACTTATGCATAGGAAAATACAGGACTTATGCATAGGAAAATACAGGACTTATGCATAGGAAAATACAGGACTTATGCATAGGAAAATACAGGACTTATGCATAGGAAAATACAGGACTTATGCATAGGAAAATACAGGACTTATGCATAGAAAAATACAGGACTTATGCATAGGAAAATACAGGACTTATGCATAGGAAAATACAGGACTTATGCATAGCAAAATACAGGACTTATGCATAGGAAAATACAGGACTTATGCATAGGAAAGCACTGATTCCTGACACTTTTGGCTGCTTTTCGGACGTTTCCTTTTCGGATCGGTTTTCGGAAGAGCCTTCAAAAATCGGACGCTGTCCGAAAAATCGGACGGTTTGGCAGCACTGCAATCTGTATCCAGTACACAGTGTTCTCATACCAGCATACTATCTCACCAGTCTCGTTGTCTGATGATTGGTTCAGCTGTAAAACTCTGAGTCACAACGGAATTTGCCCAAGGTTTTCATTGTGTGCCTTTGTGTACCTCGCCAGTACTGGATATCAGTGATCTAACAACCTGCCTTTCCTGCATTTCCACTTTTGAAAGTAAAAAATAATAATCGGTAAATGTTGTAACAGCACAGTGCGTATTGCAGCAGAATGTTGTAAACATGATTACCGACAGCTGAGTTGCCTCAAATATGCATGGCAGTGTGTATAGTGTTTCAGTGAGCTGCATTATAAATTTCGTTCCTCTCAAGATTCACCAACATCTATAAACTTGTGGATTCATTTGTGAACTACTGTGAAAGCAGACATTTTTGGTGATGTTCTATTTTCGGAAACTTGGGTGCCAAAATTTTACCGAAAATCAAACACCACCGACCATTTCAGTACTGTACTCCTACACTTACCAGGAAAACAACGGGTTTCACAAAGATTTCCCTCAACAAAACCGCCGATTTTGGAGAATACCGAAAATATTACATCACCGAAAATTTCTGCTTTTACAGTACAGTACAGTGCAGCGCAGCACAGCACAGCGCAGTAGAGTACTGTGATAATGTGTGCGGCAGTGTTGCTGACAGCCTTCTAGTAGATCACGGCCAGGAGATTCCCAGGAATAAATCTTTTAAATCCGTTGCAATCTGCTATTCTCAACTCAGGTTTGGTGGCCAATGATTCTCGGCAAGAAATAATCTCGACGACAAGCATCAAGGCTGCGGGCTACCATCGTGTGTCTGCATCACCACACATGTAGGTATGGAAGTTGAGGAAAGTCTACATGCTGATGGACCTCTTACAACACCCACAAGATTAACGGTGAGTTAGGTTCAGTGAAGATAAGCGTGTACCTTTAAGTTTATGATATTGATGGCTGTATTAAATTGAATTAGTGAGCCACAATCGCAAGTCCCAAGTCTAACGACACAGAACGACATAGTACAGCAGACGAAGCGAACGATGTTTGTATCAGAAACGACCACAAATCTTTTGCGAAGCAGCCTAAAGCAGGGTGTTTGCATAAACCTGGCTTTATTGAATGTGTGAATGTGTGCGTATGTGTTTGCACAGTTCTATATACCGGACAGTAGCATGCGACGCACCCTTCTGATCAGCTATTACCTACCAAAGAATCATGCTGAACCGAGATGGGTGCTTGGAAACTGGCAACCGTGTGCTGTTACGTGTGGTCCAGGTAAGAAGTCATGGGTGTTGTGTGTGGTCCAGGTAAGAAGTCATGGGTGTTGTGTGTGCTTCACGTAGACTATACACGTGTGTGTTGATGTCAAGACTGGTGATGGTAGAAGCATAGCAGCTCAGAGCAGCTCAAAGTTAGAAAATTCAGAATTCAAACACTGTTCTCTGTGTGTACCAGTTTATCCATGCAGTTTGGGCGTGCAGAATTCAAACACTGTTCAAGTCTCTATGTGTAACATTCCATTCTATCCATGCATTCCCTATTATCCATGCTATCCCTACAGGTCAGCAACAACGACGTGTCCACTGCTATGAAGGTGACAAGAGAGTTCGTACACGCAACTGTCGCAAGAACGGCACAACATCCAAGCCGCCTGAACACATGCGTACAAGAAAATGTCAACTACCAGCATGTCGACTACAGTATGTAAAAACACACTATTTTATAACAACACTAGTTCTCAATAGGCAAATTGGCAGGCATTGTGGGATGGTCTTAGACCATGGTTTCTAAGACCATGGTTGAGAAAAAGAAGACACAGGGCTCAAACTCAGTCTAATAGAGTCTCGCGAAGACCATGACATTCTCAAACTCAGTCTAATGGAGTCTCGCGAGGACCATGACATTTTTAGAATTTTGTTTATTGCTCATTATAGCATTGGGCGGTATGTACATGTATCACTTAGGGAGACAACTTAAGACCATAACAGTTAGTCCCTGTCATGGTGCATGTCTTGACACCGGATTCGAAACTGTGTTCTACGAGATAAGTGCGGGTCTTTGCAACTAGAGATTGTGGTCACGGACATGGCCGCATGATCTCAAATGCAGCTCTGACCAGCGACCAATGTGTGTGTGTGTGTGTGTGTGTGTGTGTGTGTGTGTATGGGTGTGTCCGTGTCCGTGTATGTGTGTGTGTGTGTGGGTGTTTGTATGTGTGTGTGTGTGTGTGTGCGTGTGTGCACATGCGTGTGCACATGTGTGTACGTGTGTGCATGTGAATGTGTGAATACATTCCTGCAGAACTCCATGGTTTGAATGTGTGAGTACGTGTGAATGCACATTCCTACCAGGGGCGTAGGAGGGGTTTTGGAAGTGGTACGACCGAAGGTGGGCGCGGCCGAAAGCCCTGTTGGAGGGGGGTCCAGGGGACCTCCCCCGTGAAAATATTGTAAAAAAAGACACAAAATCCTGCGTTCTGGGAACTTCTGGCACACTGACTGTGCAGTCGAGTCGAGTACAGTACTCAGTGCGACTGCAGATGCATAACAGATCTACGAGTACGAGTACGATAGAGTCTAGAAAAAGGTCATATGTGCGCATAATTATATGCATCTGGATGGATCCTGATTTTTTTATTACGGTTTTGCACGTTCCGGACGGACCAAACTTTTCGAAAAGTGGTACGGCCATGGTCGTACCAGTCGTAGCGGGTGCTACGCCCCTGCCTACAGAACATGATCGTTCGAATGTATGTTTGTACGTGTGAATGCATTCTTACAGAACTCGATGTTTTAAATGTGTGTATGTATGTGCACGTGCATGTGCATGTGTGTGTGTGTGTGTGTGTGTGTGTGTGTGTGTGCGCGTGCGTGTGTGTGTGTGTGTAAATGCACGTGTTCCTACAGAACTCGATGGTTTGAAGCACCACAGTGGGGACCGTGTATGGATCGGTGTGAGGGGGATTCCCCTGGCGCTGGTATGCAGAGCAGAACAGTGTTGTGTTTGAAACGTGACGGTAGTGGCTGGCTTACTGTGCAGGATGATCGCTGTGACTTCAGCAAGAAACCTGACACTGAGAGGCAGTGTACGTTACCGCCGGCTGTACAAGGTGTCAATCAATGTCATCGCTACTACCTCGACTGTCCTCAGGATGTGAGTATCCCAGAGTGCCGTATCCTAATGTGATTCAACACTCCCAAAGTGTGCCTGTGTTGTGTTATTTCTCCTACAAGAGTATAGTATCCATTAGAAGGCTTATCCTTGGAGCCTAACTGTCTAGGTGTGAGTAAACGTTCTCACAGCAGCTAGGTTGATACAAAAATATCCCTTGCCTTCCCAGGCTACGTTTCATAACTATTGTTGTGTTTGGAACGATAACATGTTTGTCTGACTGATGAATTACAGTCATCTCCAAACACACCCTTTATCGTCATCAGCTTCAAAACTGCTGTTGTAGCAATCGTTCCCAGTAGCGGCCGCTCAGCATTTTCTTCAGACTTTGAAACTCGTGCATTTCCGGTGTATTTGTGTGGGTATGTGTATCTGCATGTATGATGACTATATAGATCTTTTTCAAGGGTGTACCAGTGGTCAGTTTTTGGAGTCGCGTACGAGACATTTCTGAACCGCTGGTGAACAGGCAAAGCCCAGTTCACGTTCACTTTGTATGGGAATGGATGCGTGGAGGTGAAAGAAGCAGTAGAGTGGCGCTCCACTTGATGACCGACACTCGTGTTGAGTCAGAGCAGTAGGGCTTGAAAGTGCTACATCACAGTATAGCAACAATTTCAAAAATTCTAAAACTGAATCCACTTGGATCCAGTTTCTGTATGGATCCAAGCACATTTCAAGCGGTCTTACTCACAGCAAGGTGATATAGCCAGTGAAACTGACTGGGTTGGCTAATGGAGTTGGGGTGACAACTGATGGCAAAGAAAAAGTCACACCTGCATACGACATGCGCGGGTGGCTATGCACCCACACACTGAGGCAATAGCAAAATCACACCATAGTTGATCCAAAATAGAAATCTGATGTGAACTTACTACTCCCTGCCCGTTTTTGACGTCATCACTTTCAAGGCCTGTTGCCAGGAAAACCTTGGTTTTGGTGAAAAAGAACAAGCTTCAGAATCGCTCCAAGCGCCGGTGGAGACGAACCTGTCACATTTCGTATACTTTTCAATGCATTTTGACATGTGACCTGTTCACCGCAATCTCGGGGGATCGCCGGGGCGGTGGCGGGAACGGCGTCCTTGAAGAGGCTCTGTACAGTATTTGTGGATATGTACAATGTCATGTATGTGTATACATCTGTATAATTTTGTGTATGTGCATGTATGTGTGTGTGTGTATGAACGTGCATGTGTGTGTGTGTGTGTGTGTGTGTGTGTGTGTGTGTGTGTGTGTGTGTGTGTGTGTGTGTGTGTGTGTGTGTGTGTGTGTGTGTGTGTGTGTGTATGTGTGTTTGCATGACCGACAGTGCCAAGAAGAATGTCCCGGAACGGCACTTGTACCGGGTGACCTGTGCACTTGCCAACAAGTCACTAATATCAATGACATCATCAGTGGAGGAATCCTGGATAACCCAGCTCGCAACTTTACAAGTCAGAGCGGCTGTGAGCAGCAACTCGTTGAGAAAAGAGAACGATGTCGCAGATATATGTGGCATGATGACGCTTGGCAAGACGTATGTCTACATCCACTTCATGTACATACGTACATGTGTACATATGTATATTGTAGGGTGATAGCCGCACTTCGAAACTCAAAAACCACGCCTGTGGCTTAGACTCCAAATGCAGGACATGAATGATGGCGAGTTCCATATGCAGGACATGAATGATGGCGAGTTCCATTCATAAAATGCATTGAGTAAAATGCATGTATGGTGCCATGCAACTACATTTCTTGTACTTCTCAGACACTGAAATGCATTATTGCAGTTGTGAGATGCTTCATGTTGTCAGATCAGAGGGAGGGACAAACAGAGACTCTTTTGCTGGAACTTCAGTCGTTCTTCCCAACTTTTTAACAATTGGTAAATGCCATGTATGTACTGTGAAGTACCGTTGTTCATCAAAATACTACTAAATATGGAAAATCAGACGTCACAGTACACATAACAGACCCAGTTGGTTGGCAGCTCTGTTACCGGACGTGGGCAGGTAGACATACAAGTATGATTGTGTGTGTCTGTGTGCGTGTATGTGTGTGTGTGTGTCTGTCCATGTGTATATGTGTGTGTGTGCGTGTATGTGTGTGCGTGTGTCTGTCCATGTGTGTGTGTCTGTGTCTGTGTGTATGTGTGTGTGTCCGTGTGTCTTTCTGTCTGTCTGTATGTGGACGTGCGGTTGTATACGTGTCCCCTATATCCAGTGTGCCAGTGGCCAGGAGATACGCAATGTTACCTGCTTAGAGGAAGAAACACAGAGACCAGTTGATGAGAGTTTATGTTCTAACTGCGAGAAACCGAGAACTCAACGACCATGTCAAGCATGTAAGTGCTAGTGCTAGTGCTGTGGTATGCAATGTAGAACAGAGCTGCTCAAGGAAATGCCATGGAGTGAGTCAGCTTTGCACCCTACACAAGTGAACATGGCGTTTTTTGCAGGTGCAGGACTGCACAACGCCTGGCACATACTAGTACTTGACTTCTGGGATCGTAAAGTATTGAGCAGCAGCATTGCACACTGCACATTGCACACTGCACATTGCACATTGCACATTGCACACTGCACAAGTACAGGATTGTGCTCATTGATACTAACTGTATCATGCTAATTCTCTGGAGTGTGCCTGCAAGGAGCATTGCATCAAAAAGATGATTTCAAAATGGAATTCTCTTGTGACAGCACTCGTTTCGGGAAGCATTACTGTACGATGCTGTTATCCATGTACAAGGCTGCACTCACACCATGGCCGTATGTCGGCGTTGTGAATCAGTCATGGTCACTCTATATTCTTAAGTCTTTGCCGAAACAATGGCTAATGATCCACACACAGCAAACATTTCCCAATCTGGTTTGCACACTTTCCAGTTTCTACTATTTAGACGGTATTCTTACCCAGCTGTCTTCTGTTTGTGTTGCGCTGTGTGCTGTGCTGTGTGTGTTCTGGTGTTATGTGTGTGGTCTGGTGGTGTGTTGTGTTGGCATGTGGTGTGGTGTGCTGTGCTGTGTTGTGTGTGCTGTGCTGTGGTGTTTCTCTGCGTCTCCCGTTGTAGCTGTAATGAGGCAGTGTCCGCATGCTGACAATCTGTCATCGTGTCGTGTCATGGTAGCTGTGTTCAAACAGCTTGGTAATGATATCGGTACATACTGCGCTCAGACAATGTTCTCAACTAGTTGTTGTATACTCTGCGCTGAGTACCAACAAGATCAGACTTCTATCTCCGATTATTTCCATCGGCACCTGCCCAATAAGAAGTAGAGAAAGCTTGAAATGGTCACTATGGAAACTGTAGCAGATTTCAAGGGATCGCTTTGGCAACTCGGGTAAACTTGAGGTGATCAGGCCGTGTTATTGGTAGCCATGTTCACCTGTTGACCTGTTGACCTGTAGTATGCAGGGAGACACCTGTTGACCTGTTGGCCAGTTGTATGCAGGGAGACTCCTGTAGACCTGTTGGCCAGTAGTGTGCAGGGAGATTCCTGTAGACCTGTTGGCCAGTAGTAGTGTGCAGGGAGATTCCTGTAGACCTGTACTCACTAACTGTAGGCATAACACTACATGTACATATACATGCCTCTCTAAATTCTGATTCGTTGAACTTTGCTTTGATAACGTTATGAACCATGATGATCATGAACAGCTAATACGTGTGTCGATTATTTTTTAAACGCACTAGCTGCCAGCATGCTTGAGAATTTACTTTACTTGGCATGCTGTGCTAACACACCCGCTCTATATACATGTGCATGGACCTGGCAGGCTGTGCTAACACACCAGGTCTACACATGTATATACATGGACCTGGCATGCTGTGCTAACACACCATGTCTGTATACATGTATATATACATGTACCTGGCATGCTGCTATTAACCGCATGAGTGTTTGACAGGACCTGTACATGTATATGCTAATTGAGAAATAACACGGTCGCAGCCTACACCCAAGCCATGCATATATCCATGCAAGGCATGTGTCGGAACTGGCCACCTGACGCTAATTTACTTGATGTGCCAATTTGCACTCGTAATATACAATCTTGATATTTCTAATAATTTGACCAGTTTCGTGATAACCCATTCACGCATACATGTGCCGGTAGATCACATGTCATTACAATCACGATACCTTGATAACCCATTCTGACCATAGATCATACATGTACATGTACATCATTACGGCCACTGATGATATTCAATTCCTAGAGAGTGCGAATAGAGTAACGAAGCATAACAAGTATGCCCTGAATTCCTGAATATGTCATGTGACAACAATTCTAATGGTAACATTGCATTGCTGCATGTTCTTCTCCACATACTCACATACTGTTATGATACTGAACTACTGTCGTGGACATGGAAATCCGGTCGATTGACCGGGGCCGGCGCCCTCAGCGCGCACAGAACGCTGCGTGCAGGGCACATGTTGATCCGATGCGACCAGCGCGCTGCAGCGCATACAATGAATGTGTGTACCGCATATCCACGGCTGCATGGCCAGCACCCTGGGGCCGCTAGACGTGCGACCGGATTTCCATGTCCACAACAGTACAACGTTTGTTGCAAGACCGAAGTACAGGTCGTCCCCGGCCCCCGCTAATACGAGTCTGGTTTTATTATTAGTACAGTCGAATGTCACTTATCCGGTCGCCAGTTATCCGAGCACATCGGTTATCCGACAAGCCCGGGAGTGGTAATTTTATGACTCTCAACAGTAAAATTCTTTTAAAAAAATTATAAAAAATTAATACATTGTAATATGCATTTAAATAATCGACGCGGAGACAACAATTTTATAATAGCAATAAAGAGAACAAATTCTGCAGTCATCGCCACACTACAACGAAGTCATGAAAGTTTACCAGAATTAATTTTCTTGTCACATTCATCAGTGGAAAGTCGTGACTGAAGAGTAACCATGCTGAACAATGATTAAATATACATTCAATGATGTGTTACGAGAACAAAATACAGTGCCAAAATAGAATGAGGGAAGTTGAGACAATAGAAGTGAAGTGAGAGCTAAGTGCAACGGCGGGTGAGAAACTAATAATTATAACGCTAAAACTGTGTAGTGAGACAAACAATCATGCTGTGCACTAGGCACCGGCGGATTATGCCGGCATAATTATTGGCATAATTTGGTGGTTGAAATTTTTGAGCATAATTTGGCATCCTCTCGGAGGTAGGAGCATAACTACATGGTTGTACAACTGTTCTAGTATGTAGGCTATACAATTGTGTACAATGCACCTGATCAGTGCTGGTGGTCTGCATGGTAAAGGGTTCGGAGGTCATGCAGATAGTGTTTACAATGAAAAGCAGGGTAGAAATCATGGCCGAATACATTAGTGTATGCTCGAACTCGTCACGGTCTTCTTCAAAGTTCTTTCTCACGTTGATACAATGTACATGTAGTACATCATATAGCAGAAGATGCGAGTGAATCAGCCTTTATCAAGTGTCCCGGGGCGGACGAGATAGTGACGGGTAGTTCACAAAACTCCGCGTACATGTACATTAGTCATTATGCATGTTACGAAGTCATGACCTCTGGATTTTACCAGCCATGACATGATGACTGTGCCGGCTATGGATATTGCTCTAGATAATTTAAAAAAAGTCGGTGTATAGTAGAGTTCGGTCATGATGGAAGGAGAGGTGGAGCTACGGGGGAGATGAGCTGATTATTCGAAGGGTGAGGGTGACATCGGTTGGACGAGTATGACGATTGCGAAGACAGTTGAACGTGATAATTTGCAAAGGTAACTCAAACTAATATTATTATTGGCAATGAAAAATCTTTTTACAAAAGAAGTCAACTAATGAATAGAAGAAGTATTAAATGTTTTCTCTTTTCCATCATTAAATTTTGATCTCTAGCATGAATGGACACCTTGGTATGGGGATACTCATGTATTTTGTTGTACTTATGGCCACTTGCAAGTACGAAAAGGCACAATATTCCGACCTTTGAGGCTCCATAACTGGACCATAAGTACAACAAAGTGGATATGTATCCCCGCGTGCCAAAGCATAATAGGGAGGTTTCGCTCTACGTAATTACGTATGAATATCTGTATGTCGTACGCGCCGGGGAGCGAGGGAAACTTTCATACGTAAATCTCTCTACGGATTTCCGTAGGAAAGCTCTTTCCTACGTTGGGTCCTCCGTAGGACTTTTTGAAATATTTTTTCGCATTTTCCGCATTTGTCCATGGCAACGTTCAAGCCGCGCGAAACACAAGGTGCACACACCGTACACCACGTGTAAAATATAATGGAAAACGCGGTTTCGGTTCATGGTGCATGCTGTGGGCGCATGCAGCCAACGCGTCTCCATGGGATCCAAAGCAACAACGCATGTTTAGCAGTCGTGGAGAAATCACGTAGAGCGAAACCCAACAGCTCTGATTTTTACGTATGAAAATTCCGTGCAGTTCATACGTTATTTTCATACGTAATTCCGTAGAGCGAAACCTCCCTACTATGAGGATTTTGTGAGCATATTGCGAGAATCCATGAAAGAATAATTCCATGATTTCACAAGCATAATCCGCCGGTGCCTACTGTGCACCTACGAAAACAATTTTAACGCAACTACATGTTTCTTCTGCTTACAAAGATCAGGCTTATGCAAACGAATACAAACAGCCTCAAGTACTTTCAACTGACTAGCATACCGTGCACGACAAAGAACAGAAAAACTAAAATCATCTGGGCATGTATCATGTAAACTGTCGAATCTTCGCTGACTAGACTGTGACCGTTATAACATACATGTACTTTTTGTATTGTTATATCGAGGGAATCAAGAATATTCAGCTCCCTATACTGGCTATAGGCCCCTACTAGTAGCAAGAAACAAAGAAACAATCAGGAAAGTCGAAAAAGTGACAAATTCTGGTACAACTCGCCGAGCGAGCATAATCCGCGCACCCCTAGGTATACATGTAGTTCACACATACATGTATCTCTACCTTGTTACCAGGTTACATGACATTGTACAGACATGCATATAGTACAAGTTTTTAGGAAATTAGAGGCCACATGCCACCTACTGCTCTTTTCTCTCCGAAACTCAACACTTGCAAGCCAGATATGAAAGAAAGAGAGCATTGCTCGCGAATAGCAAGGTCCCTGGTTCGAGTCCCGGTGGTGTGACTGATGATTTTTTCTTTCTTTCTTTCTTTCATATCTGGCTTGCAAGTGTTGAGTTTCGGAGAGAAAAGAGCAGTAGGTGGCATGTGGCCTCTAATTTCCTAAAAACTTGAATTCTCCGTGAAGTCCAAATTTGAAATTGCAATGTATATAGTACAAGTCATGTATAATGTCATGTACATGTACATGCAGCATATTAGATTGAGAGCATGAAACAAGGCGGAGGACACTCTATATTAGGGAGCATCTCATTAGTTCGCATTTTTTTCTAAACGTAACGCATTTCGAAACGGGGGTAGGGGGGTAGCATAGCATAGCGCCCGTTTCGAATAGAAAAATGACAGTTCGCACATTTTCTGGAAGTGTACTAATACTATCTACTGTACTACCGGTACCGTGCTGTGCATGTGCTAGATCACTTCAGCAAAATTAATGAGTGTGGGTGTTTAGGTGTAGATCTGTGTTTGCAGATCAGCTAACCCTTGCAAGTTGCACTGCATCATGCATGCATGCAGGCTACTCAGAGGTGTCAAATGTCACACCAGCCTGATCAAACCGTGTACCTGGCCAGCTTTTACAGCAGTACATAATTCTACAGGTGTTGAGGAGAAACTATTATTTTTATGTGCGTGTACATGCCATGTGGGATTGTCCTTGTATTCAGTAACAGGGCTTGCTCTAGACATTCAAGACAGCCCGGTCAGAGTGTACCTGGCGCATGCAGGCCAGCCAGGTCAAGCTGGGTCAGATCATCCAGCAGAAAAACAACCAAAAAGCTTGCTCAAAACGCAGGAAAACAGAAAGGCAAATTTATTACCGGAAATCGGAAATTTTAGAGAACAGCCCGAACTATCAAAGTCCGCAAACGTAGAAGGTATTACGACATTACGTGAAGAATGCAAAGCAGTTCCATTGGATGATTTAAGAATTTGAAAAAAAAGGAATTCTGTTTTCTAATAAGTGCTAGTAGCAGGACGAACATAATAGAGCACTGGGGGGGGGGGGGGGAGGGGGGGGGGGGGATGCCTGCAACACCTTGTGGAGTGGCTGCTTGCTGCCACTGCATCATCTGCATGGCCAAGCCGACTGGCATCTGCTGAACCATCCGCTGAAAGGCTTCAGCAGACTGGAGAACTGGTGGAGTTGCAACTGCTGCTGATGCTGCTGCTCCTGCTGCTGGCGCTGCTGTTGCTGATGGCGCTGTTGCTGCTGCTGGCGTTGCTGCTGCTGCTGCTGCTGGCGTTGCTGCTGCCGCTGCTGCTCTGGGTGTGCGGGCCAGGTCCCTCCGTTCAGACGAGGTTGACGTGGCAGTCGTAGTACGCCGAGTCACCTCAGAATGCCATGCAGCCATAGCCTTGTCGTAGTTGAAGTCGGCGACGGCAGGAACGTCGAGCTTGATTGCGATGATCATCTCCAGATTCCTCGTCGACAGCGAGTTCCGCATCGCCGTCTTCACAAGCTTCAGCAAGCTGGAGTCTCGCTCGCATTCAGTAGTGGACAGGCAAACGGCCAATCCCCCGTCAGCGATGCGCGCCAGGTTCGGGTAGTCTCCAGCATGTTGCTCGGCGAGAATCTCGAACATCTGCTGGACGCCTTTCGAGGCCCGGAGGTTCGGGTGGGTGAGACTAAACGATTACTTGAGCGGATGTCGAAAGCCAGGATGGAGCCGAGCAGCATGCCGATAATTCGAGTTCTTACCTTTCAACCACGCATCGCGACCAAATCCACCGCCGCTCGTCTTCCTTTGGAAATGCGTCTCGCACAAAGCGCACGACATGGATAGACTGGCATGGTCGTAGTCCAGCCAGGGTCGACCTTTCTTCCAAGACTGGCAAGAGTCATGGAAAGAAAAAAAAAAAAAAAAAAAAAAAAAAAAAAAGCGTGAGTTCTTTTTCTCTTCGCTGCGGGCTCCATCGTCCAAATCACCAGTCGGCTGAAAACTTGCAACTGTGTCAAAAGCTATACCCAAAGTTACACTTTTGACTGCCTGCAACATCGACTTTGAATGTCCTGACTTCCTGCTCGCCGCTGGCCAGATCGCGCTCGAACCAGTTGACCCCAGTTGACCCTAGCCGAGTTTCTGTCGCTTGTAGACTGTAGTGTGTACGGTTGCGCTAGATTTGCAACAGATGGGGTCTGCGAGTTGTAAAATTCCGGTATTTTAGGAATCCATTGTCCGTTTGAGACATTTTTCAGCCGGGTCAGACTGGACCGGGTGTTATCTGTTCAGCCAGGTCGTGCAGTTCCCCAGCCGGGCGCGTGACCCGGCTAACCCGGCTTTCCAGCAGGCCCTGAGTAAATGTGGTACTACTGTATGCCATTCACTAGGAGTAGGACACTAGCAAAACATTCATACCCATGTACATGTAGTATGATGTACATAAGCATACCATAGCATGGGGAATGGACGCAGAAAATGTGCGATAAGACTTTCGAATAGAGGGGGGGGGGGGGGTAAAGTCTATTCAAAATGCGTTACGTTTGCAAAAAAATGCGAACTTATGAGATGCTCCCTTACAACTTCCAAGGTTTATCTAATACTAGGTTTGAACTAGAGTATTGGGTTATAATACCATGATGCATGATGCACACACTTGAGAGGGACGAAAAGCGTTTCTTCTGGAACTCCGACTTTTCTCTCTGATGATCGGTTAAAACTAGGGCTCAAACGATTAGTCCGATTAACCGGTAGCAGACCGGTTACGAAGAATTAACGGTTAACCGATAAAGATAACGGTTACGCAGTAACTTTTCAGTCAATTTTTCAAGTATCAGGTCGTTGCAAAGTGTGCACTTTCGCGGGCTGTCGCACCCGTACGCAATTTCTGGGCTGTCAACTCGGTCATATCTGGTCTCTTGGTGTGAGAGTATGTATGAATGAGCATGCAAGGGAATGTACAAGTGTGGGTTGTACTGAATAGGGTACATTTTTTGAATGAGTATAGTCAAATATACGGTTAAAAAAGAGTCCGCAGGATTGCCGTGGCTTATAGGTTATAACCGGTTAACCGACCGTTAGCTTAGCAGTTAATCGTCAGGGGTAAAACCGTGACCGTTTGAGCCCTAGTTAAAACCGTGAAACTCAGAGATAGTAAGATTATGACGAGGGACGACCTATGTACCTCGCTTCATCATGCCTAGAGCGGAGTAGCGCCTGTCAAGACTCAAAGATTTGTACCTGTACACACGCTTGTATTAAAAAGGTTACTAAAGACTAGTACTAGTACTAGTAGCCGGGAGCCGGATACGCGGCCGCATCGCCTGACGTGTTTATTAGGAACACACCAAGCAAATACATACATGTAATCCACATCGCCGGGCCACCACTTCGGCGAGTCTTCGCCTCAGTTTCATTGTACATGTACTTGATAAAAATGTAGTCGCTGTTGTACTTGTAGTCAGCTACAACATGCGCTGGCCAAGGACAGAGCTATGCGCTGGCCAAGGACAGAGCTATGCGCTGGCCAAGGACAGAGCTATGCGCTGGCCAAGGACAGAGCTATGCGCTGGCTAGGCGTTTTTTTCAGGTGTTTCGCAAGTAAATGAAATAGGATACCTATCGAAATACATTGCGGTTATGAAAACGATGTTTCGGCGAAAGTGATACCAGTGATACCAGTGATACCAGTACAGTATGTACTGTCATGCAACTGTACCACATGTAGACCTACATCAGTACATGACTACTTGCAGAGTACAACTCCAGCACTGGCATGGCAGCAGGCATGCAGTTGGTCCACACACAAACACACACACACACACACACACGTCCACACACGTACACCTATTAGAGAGGTTTTGCAGAGCGAACGTTCGCGCGAATTTTCGTTTGACGTCACGAAAAGCGAAACTTCGTGCGAACGTTCGCAGTTTTGAACGCGAAAGTTGCAGGAAACGCGAAACAAACTTTCGCAGTAATTTTCGCTCTTTGTGGACCGCTGGTCAGCCTGGTGCACGGACATGAGCGACCCTCAATCTTCAAGTTTGTGCTGGATCTCTACTCTTGCAGTCTTGGCTTGGTCCGCGAGTGCTAGCTTTCCGATACTTTTGGCAGCCCGTGTTGTTTCATCTCCAGAACCATCTCCGATCTCCTGCTTGCTCGTCTTCTCACTGCTCAGAATCGGTTACATCAACGATGCCTTTTTGAATCTCAAGTGTTGATGCGCAAGGTTACGGCACAAGCCAACCCGGCCCGTTTGTCTGTGGGTCTCCGGCCATGGACAACGTAGTCAAAGAGCTCTCGTCTCAGGCCGTGACTCAGGGTACCTGGTGCGCGTGCCGCCACTCGCAACAAACAAATAATCGGATGGAGAACACTTCTCAAAAACAAGCGAGTACTCGTACACACGAAATTTTCTTGGAGCAAGAAACATGCAAACGTTCGCAGTAATGTTCGCTCTTTGTGGACTGTTCGTGCGCGGTGAGCCACCCTCAATCCTCATGTTTGTGCTTCATCTCTACTCATGGCTTGGCGGCGGGTGCTTGCTTTCCTATACTTGTGGCAGCCCGTGTTGCTTCATCTCCGGAACCATCCCCGATCTCCTGCCTGCTCGTCTTCTCACTGCTCAGAGTCGGTTACACCAACACGCGATGCCTTTCTGAATTTCAGGTGTTGATGCGCCAGATTACGGCACAAGCCAACCCGTTTGTCTGTGAGTCTCCGGCCATGGACAAGGTAGTCAAAGAGCTCTCGTCTCAGGCCATGACTCAGGGCGCCGTCACTCGCAACAACAAAATAATCGGATGAAGACCACTTCTCAAACAAGCGAGTGCACGCGAAAATTCCTGGGAGCGAAAAACATGCAAAACACAAATTTCGCGCGAACGTTCGCAATAGTTTTCGCAACCCGGAACGCGAAAATCATTGCGAACGTTCGCTCTGCAAAACCTCTCTACTAGTACCTCAGCTCCGCATGCGCAGCCTCCAGCACCGACGACAAGCGCTTGTCCTTCCCTTGATCACGGCGACAAGGGGCTTCCTCTGCATTCCGGGCTCAGTATAGACTATAGTAGTGTAGTGAAGTAATACTACTAGTGTAGTACTCATGCAATGTCACACTCTAGACTCTAGACTAGTCTAGAACAGACCGTTCACTGCCGTTGACGAATCATTCGCCCAGGCTAGATTCATACACACTCCGTATCGGCGCATTTTCTCGCAGTACCACGCCACGGAGGAGAATCGGATGGAGACTGACTTGAAAGTTGAAGAAGACGAGGAAGACGAAAAGTGCCTCGATAGTCATCACGGTTATCTCCTATGTCTAGATGAGAATCATGGAGAACGAGCACTGAACGTCTGAAGAGTGAAGACTGGTAGTGAGTGAAACAGACTCAGTAGTAGCTTTCGCGTTGGCAATACTAGCTCAGTGGCCTTTGTACACTGTACATGGTGCGAGCGTTCTGTTCACACGTCTGCAAGCTGCTAGACCTTACACATCCTCCCGCCAGCGCTAGTCTCCAACAGTCCAAGTCACTCGGACCGTGGACTGGAGAAGGGCCAGGGCTAGGGCTGAGCTTTGTGCATGTTCAGCGTTACACGTAACGCGTGTCTCCTGTTGGACTAGGTCTACGTAACTGCAGTAGCCTCTATCTCTGTGCTAAGGTCCCTAGCTACACGTCTCCCCACTTGGGTCGGTTTTGTGAAGCTGGAGTCGAACATTTCGTTTTTGCCTAGGTGTTGCGGCGTTCTGGTTGAGACAGACGGATGAGTTTTGTGGTAGTTTCTTGGCACGAATAGACAGCCTGAGTACAGCGACCAGTCAGCGACGGACAAGCAGCAAAGTGGTACTGGCTGTTGGACTGCCGGAACATCTCGGAAGCAAACTACAACCAGATCAGGAAGCGAGTCTCCACAAGCTGATAGAGTTATTTGTGGAGCGAGTAACGATTCTGTGTAGGCGTTTTTTGTGGGCTGCACTAGCACTATCGCTGAGTATTCCCCGAACAGGGCGTGCAAAGAAACGGGAACTCGTTCTCCCAAGTTAGCTCCAGACAAAGGGAGGGAACAACTTGCCTGCAGCACATGTTGTTCAACTTCGAGCAGTGAAGGTTTACATCATGGCGACGTGGTGTTCTAAGCACCGCACAACATTGCAGAAGCCGATGAGACTGCACGCAGTGGTAAGTTACTTTCCTTTTTGTAGAAGAAACCTGATGACCAGATGTACATGTATTGGGAATGCAGCCTTGCATAGAACATTATCCCTGTTCTTTCAGCCAGCGACCAAAGGCTTCCCGCCACTCTCAGGCATATACATGATTGTACACTATGACTTATAAGTACAGTCGTGCTCAATGAAATCTACATCTAGTGGTGTCACTCAAGTTTGCGCCTTGGGCGCGTTCAGACTGGCGTGAATAGCCGCCGGAAAGCTATAGTCTAAGGGTGCGTTTACACGACAACGCTGGACTATTTTTGCGTTTTCGATCCCGCAAAGCTGTATGCGTTTTCGGGAGTTTACCCGAAAACGCTGCAGCGTTTTCGGGTGTTTACACGAGAACGCTCTGCGTGCACGGACATGCAGTCCACAGGTGCCGTACCGTTGAATTTTGGGTGCGCAAATACGCTCTCCTATCCAGGTCCCGTTTCTGCAGTAAATACCACTGCACCAACTATTTCTCTACTTTCGAACGGTGCAGTAGATGAGCGTGTAGGTTGGCCAAGTGATCGCAGGTTTGGACTGCAAAGAGTGCGCAGAGAACGGCTATATACATGTATACAGCGATCATCCTTCTTTTGTGGGCGTCCAGTGAAGAGCTCCAAATCCTGGGCATGCGGGTTGCACCCAGAGAACAACGGAACGTACAGTACATGTAGGCACTACGCGAGGATGGAGTTAGTAAAGAACGCTGCACGAGGATGGCCTTGTGAGCGTGATGAAATTATTTCTAATAATCCACCACACAAAAATACGTCTCTCAGCTCTTTCTATTTTTCCGCCATTGCCATAGCCATGGCACAGAGACGATGAGGCTCCGTTTTCGCTGTTTACACGGTTGGAATCCGGAAAAAAATAGTTGCGTTTCCAGATTCTTACACCTTGGTGAGCGTTTTTATTTTGTTCCGTTTCGCGCTTGCGTTTCTTTCGTTTTCGTGTACTGTCGTGTAAACGGAAGGCCAAAACGCAAAAATATTCTTGCGTTTTCGCTGGCAGCGTTGTCGTGTAAACGCACCCTCAGGTACTGCAGCGTAATCCCGGGAATCGCAATCACACTGCACGTGTATCCCGCTGGAATGGCCAGTACATGTGAAGCTTCGACATTTGAAAAATTTGAGTTGACTCAGTTTGAGTTGGATATCAAAATAAACTAATTCAGTCTGTTGAGATACTGGATCATTGTGCTTTTGCTTGTGCTTGTAGGCGGAAAGAATACTATGTCCGGAGTGTTTGGTGCTTGGGTGGCATTCATCCGCTCCGAGATCAGAGTATGCTTCTTGTTCGCAGTAAGCGTTTTGCCTGCAGAGCGGCCCGCAAAAATCACCACGTACAGCTCCATGCACTCCCTCTCCATTGCTGAGTCGAACAAAGATTTTGGCATGATGGGAGAAGTTGGCAGTCTAGAAGTCAAAACTCAAAACTAAAAAGCATGCAGTCAGACTGAAAGAGTCTGACTGCAAGAGGCTGAATTAAAACGAAAAGAGAGATTATGTGCTGCAAGGATATCAAAAGCGCTCCGCGTGCCACTGGAATCTGCATTCCACCGGCCTGCAGAGTGGTGGGAAACCTTTTCCGTGTTTACGCTGGCGGGAACGTCACGTGAGCGATTCACCTTGACAACTTTCACATTCCGCTGGCTTTTTACGCCAGTCTGAACGTGCCCTTACACCATTTCGCAGCCCAGTCTTCGCAGGTCTATGGCTGCGCAACGCCCGCCACGCGTACTTGAGTGACTCAACTGGATTTCATTGAGCAGCACTATACAGCTGTCATTGGTTTGTTTTGATATGAGTATTGCCATGAATGAAGTACTGTAAATCAACTATTCGGCGCGTATCTATTTTCGGCGATTTTCGGCTTGAGTCTTCAAGGCCTAAAATTTGTTGCAGTTTGGTTTTTTGTTTGCGATATACATGTATGCTGTACAGGGTGACAGAATATACAGGCAGTGGTGGTACAGGGTGACAGAATATACAGGCAGTGGTGGTACAGGGTGACAGAATACACAGGCAGTGGTGGTACAGGGTGACAGAATACACAGGCAGTGGTGGTACACACGGCTGTTCGCGCACGGACATCTAACAATATGGAGTCGTTCGGTGCGATTTACGTAACGCGGTACAAACCTCATGAATACGATGGGAGTTTGCGTTTTGGGATGAAACTCATGTCACTCTCCGTGTGGTTCCACGATTTCGCAAGTCAAACCAGGATTTATTATTTGAAAGCGCTCGAGCGAGATACTCAATATCCAGACAATTTGAGAGAGAAGGAAGGTAAAAGGAACTCCTGCCGTGGTCAACCAGCATCCTGACCTTTTCGAACCTCTCCAAGCTGTCCCTGGTAGTCTGGATATTGACGCACGCACTGATTTTCAGCTTCTCCTCGCCGGGATCACGGGTGCAACTTTCAAATTTGCCGATATGCACTCGAACAAACGCACGATTGGATCTACATCACAATTTCGGGGCTATCTGTGTGCTTGCTGCCTTTTTCAGCAATACCCCACATGTCTACTGGGCAGTTTCCACCAGGCCTCGGCCTCCTGGACTCAACAGCGACTCCAGCGCCATGCCATCTGTCCCCTAAATCGCATGAAAAGGTAGCTCAGCATCGAACGCACGGGACCTGAAGTTTGTGCACGGGACGTGATAAAACTTGGTGAAGATAGCCAGAAGATAGTCCTCTACCTGGGAAAACTGAAAGCTAGACTGGGAAAACTCCTGAAAGGGCTTCTTGACGCAGGCATGTCAACGATGAATCAAGGAACGAGCGAGAAAGAAGGCATGACTTGTGCAACGCGGAACAAACTGTTCCTGAGACGAAGTTGGCCATGTGAGGTACCAGCGGAAAGCTAGTTTCAAGAGGAACACGGAATACCTGTTTTCCGGGTAAACCTGGCCTGGTAGCTTTCTAAATCGAGCGAAAACCACAGCGAAATCGGCTGCTGAGAATTTGAAAATTCAAATTTCCTTGCCGATCCAGCCCAATCGAGACTTTTGGCTGCCATCTTGTTAAATGTCCAAATTTCGCGAAAAAAAACAGCGTGTACAGGGTGACAGAATATACAGGCAGTGGTGGTACAGGGTGACAGAATATACAGGCAGTGGTGGTACAGGGTGACAGAATATACAGGCAGTGGTGGTACAGGGTGACAGAATATACAGGCAGTGGTGGTACAGGGTGACAGAATACACAGGCAGTGGTGGTACAGGGTGACAGAATATACAGGCAGTGGTGGTACAGGCTGACAGAATACACAGGCAGTGGTGGTACAGGGTGACAGAATACACAGGCAGTGGTGGTACAGGGTGACAGAATATACAGGCAGTGGTGGTACAGGGTGACAGAATACACAGGCAGTGGTGGTACAGGCTGACAGAATACACAGGCAGTGGTGGTACAGGGTGAGATTTTACCACGCCCGAAAAATGGTTTAGCCCTAGGAGGCTGAAATGTGAACACGCCGGAATTTTGTATACTTACTGACCCCGGGAGGAAGGGGGGGGGGGGAATACTTGCTTACCGTAATGTCGCGTATATAGCAGGTGCTTACGGCCGTATAAGCCGGGGTTCGAACCATGCTTCTATTCAAGTTATGCTTCTCTTCAAAACATTAATTTTTTCTACGTTAAAGGGGAAGTTAAGGCAAAAATCAAAATTTCACCAGTTGTAGTCTTCGGGGTGCTGAGTCGAATGGTCTTGGTCCGAGAAAGCTGAGACGCTCCCTTCCTACTTGAATCCCAATCGAACTCGCGCACTTCCACCCAAACTGGGTGACTGCGCCCTACTAGATGGGGATTTGTATGCAAAATGTCACTAAATGCGCCATTTCGTTCTTATAAAAGCCGGATGACCGCGATTGGCCCATATGTTGTAGTCTTTTGGACGCTGAGTCGACTGGTTTAGGTCCGAAAAGGCTGCGATGCAGCGTTCCTCCTTTATTCCCAATCGAACATGGTTGAACAAGCGGTCACGTGCTCCTGGGTGCCCAAATCACCTGGTCACCACGCCAGCAGGCGACAACCTTCACACCAAGGTTCAACTCGAGTTCAACTCGAGTGACAGGACTGCTGCACCCAAAAAAGGTCAAACAGGCTAGTAAGTTGTACCCTGCAGGCATGGTGACCAGGTGACTGGTGTACGCAGGAGCACGTGACCGCTTGTTCAACCATGTTCGATTGGGAATAAAGGAGGAACGCTGCATCGCAGCCTTTTCGGACCAAAACCAGTCGACTCAGCGTCCAAAAGACTACAACATATGGGCCAATCGCGGTCATCCGTGCTTTTATAAGAACGAAATGGCGCTTTTAGTGACATTTTGCATACAAATCCCCATCTAGTAGGGCGCAGTCACCCAGTTTGGGTGGAAGTGCGCAAGTTCGATTGGGATTCAAGTAGGAAGGGACCGTCTCAGCTTTCTCGGACCAAGACCATTCGACTCAGCACCTCGAAGACTACAACTGCTGAAATTTTAATTTTTGCCTTAACTTCCCCATGATCAGTGTACCCTGTGCAGTGCATACTGTCACACATGTACATGTACTATGCATGTACCCTGTGCAGTGCATACTGTCACACATGTACATGTACTATGCATGTACACTGTGCAGAAAGCGGCTTCTATTCGAGTCATGCTTCTATACAGGTCATGCTTTTATACGCGATATTACAGTATAAATAGGGACGTGGCAAGGGGTAAATACTTCTATTACTTGCTTATGGGGAGCTGGGGAGGGGTAAATACTTGCTTATGGGGAGCTGGGGTAAATATTTACGTATGGGGATGGGAGAGGGGGGGGGGGGATGGGGTAAATACTTGCTTATGGGGAGCTGGGGTAATACTTACGTATGTGGATGGGGGGGGGGGGGGGGGGTAAATACTAAGTATTGCTCGTGGGAGATGTGGGGAAGAGGACTGGGGTAAATACTTGCTTATGGGGAGGGGGTAATACTTGCTTATGGGGGGGGGGGGGGAGGGTAAACATTACGTATGGTGGGGATATCAACGTGTGCCCTGCACAGGCAGCTCGCGCATGCAGTCAAGCGCGCATCAGATTTGGCTTGCAGAATTTTTTACCAAACACGGACTATGTAGTTTGCAGAAAATTGAGAGAAATGGCTGAAATTCCTTGCAAGGAAAGTGACTGTTATAGGTTACCTGCTCGCCAGAATGGGATCTTGGTTGGTATGTTGGCCGCCGCCGAGTTTTAGCATCGATTTGTAACTTTGTTGGATGGCGCAAAGCCGTTTTCGTCCCAAACGTCAGCATTATTATTAGGGGTGAAACGAATACGAATATTGATTTTCCGAGTACCGTCGGTCAGTGTCGTGCAATATTATCGCATGAGCTGATTGTTTAGTAACTGGCGGTGTTAATGGACATTATAGCGTAACTTGTAGTTCCTTCGTCCTTTTGTCTTTTCTATAAATTAATCCGAATATTCTTTCCGTTACCGAACTTTGCACCCCTAGTTCTAGTTTTAGGACTCAAAATGACGACCATGCGGATTGATACCATGATCTCCGAGGTGAAAATCACTGGATTAAACGGGAGAAAAGCTCTGGATTCAATGGCGAACCCGACAGAAATACTTCATGTTGGATGTTGAGAGCTGGCAGGAAATTTGACCGAAGCTTTCATGCTTCAAAGGTGACCACGTTCGACGTTCGTTCTTGTGCGTTTCTGCATTTCTGACATATGGCCGCGCGGATGGCTATTGTTGCAACGAAATCGATTGTCAGGTGTGGACAGGGTGTTGTTTGAGTAGTCGTGTGGAGACGCGGTTTGGTTGTGACAGGTAACAGGAGCGACTCCCGAAGATGGCAAAAGCCAAATCTACTCAAAGCCGACTTCATTATCGCCGATCTTCTGTCGGCGCATTTTCACTTACTTGCTGCAACAAACGGTACAAGCTGTGGAAATCGTCAGATGGTATTAGCCTATCAGTGTCACCCCCAGAACCTCTACTCAACCATTAGCTTGAGTAACCTTTCTCTCTAGTTCTCTCTCTCTCTCTCTTTCTTTCTTTCTCTCTAGAAATGTTCAAACTTCAAAATCAAGGTTGAGCTGCATTGGGGAGTCGTCAAATATCGACTGTCTGAGCTGCATTTTAGCCGGTTTTTGGCAATCGCCATTTTTCCAGTCTGCCATCAGAAATCGATTACATCATTGAGTGCACAAAGCCCTGCGCAGTTCCACGCTGAGATCCGTACTTATGGGGAGCGTAAGGGGGGGGGGGGGGGGCGGGGGGAGGGGGGGGGGGGGTGATTATGGGGGATGTGTTATACTTGCCCTTGCGAATATACACGCAACTGCTCATTTCATTATGGAAATGATCAATAACCACTGGTTATGATATTACCAGCAATACTGGATCCAATGCCTTCCTTCCATTTGCATTCGGATCCACCGGATCTTGATCTGTGTTTAACAAATCGTACATGCACAAGTTTGACCAGTCCCATACAGTCCCATACAGTCCCATTCAGTCCCATACAGTCCCATACAGTCCTATACAGTCCCGTACAGTCCCGTACAGTCCCGTACAGTCCCGTACAGTCCCGTACAGTCCCGTACAGTCCCGTACAGTCCCGTACAGTCCCGTACAGTCCCGTACAGTCCCGTACAGTCCCGTACAGTCCCGTACAGTCCCGTACAGTCCCGTACAGTCCCGTACAGTCCCGTACAGTCCCGTACAGTCCCGTACAGTCCCGTACAGTCCCATACAGTCCCATACAGTCCCATACAGTCGTCTTGTTTGAATTCAACTACTGTAGCACTACACTACTGATAATACACAGTGTCTGCCACTATCCGGGTGTTTTCTTTATGTCGAAAAACAGGATTAGTGACCAACTACAAGTGACTGGTTCATGTTTATAATCCCCTTCTCCTCCAACCCCCACCCCCCCCCCCCCCCACACACACACACACTCGTCTGTCTAAGCCCTTGGAGAGATAATGTTCGGCAGGAGGACAATTTAGAAAGAATTCCAGCATAAATGGTTGGTGAGACGTCAGTGCTATACGGGAAGAAGTAAGATCAGATGAGATCAGATCAGAAGAGATGATCAGAAGAGATGATCAGAAGAGATAATTATGTGGAAATCTGCTGTAGTCTTCCCTTCTCACTGGGCACATGTTGAATCTTGTAAATCTGATGTTTCCTGGTGTATGTTGATGTATCCTTGTGCGTGTGCTTGTGCATGTGTGCGCTTGTTTGTGCTTTTGTGTGTTTCTGTGTGTTTCTGTGTGCTTGTCATGTGCACGCGCTTGTGTGTGCTGTGACATGTGCAGGTTCGTTACTGCGTGCACGTATCATGTATCGTCGCTTTCATCATGGCGGCCGGTGTGGAACTATGCCATGCGCATGATATCAACATAACCACGCCGTCTCCTGTTGGTGATATGACGACTCATGATACACCAGTGACATCATCACATCATTGTCATGTGACCTGGCCACGTCGAAGCAATGTCTGTGGTAGGTATCAGCACCCGTACTCCTCTTCTTCTCTTGTGCAATACACTGTATGTGTGTCACTATCTTTGCAATGCATGTATGCAATACACTGTGTGTGTGTCACTATCTTTGCAATGCGTGTATGCAATACACTGTGTGTGTGTCACTATCTTTGCAATGCGTGTATGCAATACACTGTGTGTGTGTCACTATCTTTGCAATGCGTGTATGCAATACACTGTGTGTGTGTCACTATCTTTGCAATGCGTGTATGCAATGGCATGCATTGTGTAACTATTATGTTAGGCCACACGTTTTTATTTCTATGTTTCTCGTCACACACGCGCATACGATTCACGAGTCTGGAAGAAAAAAAAAGAAAAAAACTGTGCTGCACTGTGGGGACCAGCACATGCACTTGTGCACCCTGTCCTGGCTGTCCTGCCCTGCTCGACACATCCACGGATGCACGGTGTATTGGTGGATTTCAGTTTGACCAAAGGTCTAGTACGCTATTTTATCGGCCATTAAAAAAAAATTCAACCTCTCGCATACAATTTTAGATTTTCAGGTGACGAGAAACATATAAATAAAAACGTGTGTCCTTACCTCCAGCAGGCAAACAGGCCATCGTTGCGTTCATATCTCTGCACCAAAACCAAACAACAAGAAACGGATATACAAGTACAAAGAAATATTCAAGTACAGTAGGTATCGGTTATAGCGTGGGTGTTTGAAAAACGACTTTCTATTCTTATTTCCGATATTTCTTACACACGATAAATCAAGTGTGACATATCATGTGCATGTGTGCGGAGGCAGGAAGATCATCGTACATGCAATGTAGTGTTACTGTGCATGCGGCTGGTTATAGTCCCATAGGCTTACTATGTGGCTATGCAACATGAGTTACATGACCACAACAGTTGAACCTGCAGCACTACGACCCAACGCAAGTCAAATCAGAACTGCATTGGACGGATGTTATTACTACAGGCAATATACTTTGTACTAATCTGGTATGTTTTGCTACATAAAGTCCATTCTTAGGACCGATATATTCTACTGTACGATAAAATTGCTTGTAAGAATAAAAGTGCACTTGAAATCCATGTTATGATTATGAAAACATGAGAGGTCATTCTTGTAGGCAGTATATTCTTTTACACGACCACGCTATAACCGATACGCACTGTAAATGCCCAGCAGCCGCATGTCTAACGGTCCTACAAAACAGTTTATGCTATTGACATCATGGTGATGTTATGGTGATGTCATGGTGACGTCATGGTGACGTCATGGCTCTGAACTAGCAAATTCCCTATAGGCTCTAAGTATACAGTGTGGGTCGGCAGATTCTCTTCAGCTAATGCATCATCGCTGTCTCACAGCTTTGCCTAAACCATGTCAACTGATGATGTAATCGCATGACCTCTATTCACTGCCAATCACTGGGGTATGACCTCTATTCACTGCCAATCACTGGGGTATGTACCACTAGGTTCTAATGATAAATGGCGTCAGTCAGTCAGTCAAACTCTCTGAGAATTGTACCAGGGCAACTTTCCCATTCCGCCATTTTTTCACGTCAGTTTGAACATATCCTTGTCATACTTGTGTAGTATCCCTGCCTGGTTAATACGGAAGTAATACGGAACTTTACCTGATGTATATTTAGTGTATCTCCGTATGTAAGCGTACGGCGTCTGCTGCATAAAAGCTGCCGCGCATTTCTGTTTTGATTAGATTTTATAGCAACGACAAAACCAAGAAGAAGAAGTATTCAACCTCCAGGTGTGCACCGGAGAGAACTTGAATCCTATTTATTTGGCGCTTCTTCTTTTACTAATAATTAAATCATGCTAATAAAAAACCTCCACACATTCCCCATTTGGACAACTGGTATTTATTTTGTATAATTACCTGTATAAAACAATTGTTCTCAATAAAAAAACCAGTAATAAAAACCACTAGGCAAATAAACACTCGTATAAAAAAACCCTTTTTAGGGATGAAGAAGGAAGCAAGCAGTTTCGACAGGAATCGCTCAAATACTGAGATCGTCTCTGGCTTGGTGATAGCACCCTTCGTATCTGAGCTGGTTCCGCGAAGGCCACCTTGGTGATTCTTTGATTGGAAATCACAGTGCAACACGATGGCCCTCTCGCCAGCAACTGTCGTGAATTGCAAATCCGATGGCTTCAGCTGGCTCTGGGCCTCACTTCCCCTCAGACAGAAGTGAAGAGTACACTGAAACCAGATGTAGTAAGTAACCTTCTTGATATCCAGCGTTGTCGACACGTCGGAAAAGTACGCATTCAGCTTCTTCCAGTCTTCCTCTGATAGACCATCCTTGTGATTGACGGCCATTTTACGTCCGTCTCTCTTCTTCTCTTTGAGCGTTGCATCCAGGAGTTTGTTGGCACGTGAGAAAACAGGGCTCTGGATATTGATGCCACGGTCCAAACGATTGAGCTCTCGCTGAACAGCTCCGCGTGCTGCTAAATAGCTTGATCTTTTATACTCTTGGCCATCTTTCCTTTTCAGACTGCAGTAGAAATTCTCCAGAATCCCAGCCAAATCTTTCTCGCTGATCTTTTCTAAATCACACTGCATCCCCATTTCGACAACAAAATCGTTCAAAACAGTCAACCAATGTCTGGTTGCTGCTCTCGTTGAGGCAGGGGTAGCATCCTCAAGAAGCTTCTGCTTCGCTTCGTCTGATAACGAAAGAAAGCGACTCGGACACTCACTCTCAGCCATCTCTTCGACAAACACGAGGCAATGAAAGAGAAAGAACTCGTGCATGCGTATACATGTAATTCGAAGGATGCAATGTTCGTGTAACTGTTGCACGTGTCGTTTTTTTATTAGCATAGATTTAAATAAAATACATACTTCGCCCTCGTGTTTACGGGAAATCAAAATCCTCGATAAAAAACCTCGGCTACGCCTCGGTTTTTTATCTCGGTTTTCATTTCCCGTAAACACTCGGGACTCAGTATGTATTTTATACTTATATCCCAGGTGTGTACCTGAGAGAAAAAGAATAAAAGCTAACTCTTGTTGATTGCACTGCGCCTACCACTCGGCTACCTGTTGCACTTGCACACTATTGGCACAGGCACTGTTGTTAGAATTCGGGTGCACTAAGGTGCAGGGATACCTATGCAAGGGCGTCGGACACGATACGGTCAACAAGTGGCCTGAGGTACCCCGTGAATCATTTACAATACACTGATCTGGGCTCTAAATTGTCAAAGTGTTCGCCTTAGCCAGCCACGAGTAAATTGTACTTCAGATGTCTGGCCGTAAAACACTAAAAATATCTTCTGATGCCCCTGCTATGGCTATGGAAAAGGAAATGTGAAAGCTCAGCTTACTCCACCCCTATAACCGCAATTCTTTGACTGTATCACTTTATCTTGTTCGTCTTTCCAGGACCATTTGCGGTCAATACTGACATACTCGAGGAAGAAGGTAGGGCTATTAAACCTGTTCAAGGAATAATTATGTACTTCCTGGGCAATGCAAATTTGTTCTACAGGCTTTTCCCCTCTTCAACTCCCTCAGCTAATGAATGTTGCAAGTAAACTCTTCTATTTGATAGGCGACAAAGTAAAATACAAGTGAAGATACCGGTATGAGGTCCAATGAAATACTAAACAAGATATCAGCATGTTACCTTCTTTGTCCATCACCACTTTCTCTGGAATTCGTTCGTGACGCTTCAGCTGTTTGTGTTTATTGCCATCCGATAACAGCATGGTATGATAATAATAATTATGATACATGTGCAGATATGCACCGCATATGCACTGCATCACAAAACAAGATGTACTTGTAAGAGCACTTTATCTTATAACACAATAACATTCTCAGAGTCAGAGTAGATGCCTGCACCTGTCAGTTGACTTTACATGTCATTGGAGTTAGACGACTCTGTAGAATTTTCCCCACGATGTCATCACATCTTGCGTGCCTTGTGTCTGACACTCTCGTACCTTCACTTTGATCATGACGATGATCCAATGGCATAGTACGGCATTGTGGAGGTTACCAACTTCATTATGTCTTGTTGTTTAGTCTTGATGGCTGCTACAATGTTGTCATTGTTGTTATTGTCGCACCCACTCTCAAGACGTCAGTAGCATAAGAGAAGCACACAAAATACTGCACTCTCTCCAGTCTCTGCACTCTCTCTACTCTCTCCACTCTCTCCACTCTCTCTGTAGTCCCTCCACTCTCTGCACTCTCTCCACTCTCTGCACTCTCTCCACTCTCTCTACTCTCTCCACTCTCTCTAGTCTCTGCACTCTCTCCACTCTCTCCACGCTCTCCACTCTCTGCAGTCTCTGCACTCTCTCCACTCTCTCCACTCTCCACTCTCTGCACTCTCTCTGCAGTCCCTCCACTCTCTGCACTCTCTCCACTCTCTGCACTCTCTGCACTCTCTCTACTCTCTCCACTCTCTCCAGTCTCTCTACTCTCTCCACTCTCTCTACTCTCTTCACTCTCTCCACTCTCTCCACTCTCTCCACTCTCTGCACTCTCTGCCCTCTCTCCATTCTCTCCACTCTCTCCACTCTCTCCAGTCTCTGCACTCTCTCCACATTCTCCACTCTCTCCACTCTCTCCACTCTCTCTGCAGTTCCTCCACTCTCTGCACTCTCTCCACTCTCTGCACTCTCTGCACTCTCTGCACTCTCTCTACTCTCTCTGCAGTCCCTCCACTCTCTGCACTCTCTCCACTCTCTGCACTCTCTCCACTCTCTCCACTCTCTCCACTCTCTCTGCAGTCCCTCCACTCTCTGCACTCTCTCCACTCTCTGCACTCTCTCCACTCTCTCTACTCTCTCCACTCTCTCCACTCTCTCCACTCTCTCCTCTCTCTCTCTCTGCAGTCCCTCCACTCTCTGCACTCTCTCCACTCTCTGCACTCTCTCCACTCTCTCTACTCTCTCCACTCTCTCTACTCTCTCCACTCTCTCCACTCTCTCCACTCTCTCCACTCTCTCCACTCTCTCTCTCTGCAGTCCCTCCACTCTCTGCACTCTCTCCACTCTCTGCACTCTCTCCACTCTCTCTACTCTCTCCACTCTCTCCACTCTCTCCACTCTCTCCTCTCTCTCTCTCTGCAGTCCCTCCACTCTCTGCACTCTCTCCACTCTCTGCACTCTCTCCACTCTCTCTACTCTCTCCACTCTCTCTACTCTCTCCACTCTCTCCACTCTCTCCACTCTCTCCACTCTCTCCACTCTCTCTCTCTGCAGTCCCTCCACTCTCTGCACTCTCTCCACTCTCTGCACTCTCTCCACTCTCTCTACTCTCTCCACTCTCTCCACTCTCTCCACTCTCTCCTCTCTCCACTCTCTCCACTCTCTCCACTCTCTGCACTCTCTCCACTCTCTCCACTCTCTGCACTCTCTCCACTCTCTCCACTCTCTCCACTCTCTCCACTCTCTCCTCTCTCTCTCTCTGCAGTCCCTCCACTCTCTGCACTCTCTCCACTCTCTGCACTCTCTCCACTCTCTCTACTCTCTCCACTCTCTCCACTCTCTCCACTCTCTCCTCTCTCTCTCTCTGCAGTCCCTCCACTCTCTGCACTCTCTCCACTCTCTGCACTCTCTCCACTCTCTCTACTCCCTCCACTCTCTCTACTCTCTCCACTCTCTCTACTCTCTCCACTCTCTGCACTCTCTCCACTCTCTCCACTCTCTGCACTCTCTCCACTCTCTCCTCTCTCTCTCTGCAGTCCCTCCACTCTCTGCACTCTCTCCACTCTCTGCACTCTCTCCACTCTCTCTACTCTCTCCACTCTCTCTAGTCTCTGCACTCTCTCCACTCTCTCTACTCTCTCCACTCTCTCTAGTCTCTGCACTCTCTCCACTCTCTCCACGCTCTCCACTCTCTGCACTCTCTCCACTCTCTGCACTCTCTCCACTCTCTCCACTCTCTCCAGTCTCTGCACTCTCTCCACTCTCTCTACTCTCTCCACTCTCTCCACTCTCTTCACTCTCTGCACTCTCTGCACTCTCTGCACTCTCTGCCCTCTCTCCATTCTCTCCACTCTCTCCACTCTCTCCAGTCTCTGCACTCTTTCCACTCTCTCCACTCTCTCCACTCTCTCTGCAGTTCCTCCACTCTCTGCACTCTCTCCACTCTCTGCACTCTCTCCACTCTCTCTACTCTCTCCACTCTCTCCACTCTCTCCACTCTCTCCTCTCTCTCTCTCTGCAGTCCCTCCACTCTCTGCACTCTCTCCACTCTCTGCACTCTCTCCACTCTCTCTACTCTCTCCACTCTCTCTACTCTCTCCACTCTCTCCACTCTCTCCACTCTCTCCACTCTCTCCACTCTCTCTCTCTGCAGTCCCTCCACTCTCTGCACTCTCTCCACTCTCTGCACTCTCTCCACTCTCTCTACTCTCTCCACTCTCTCCACTCTCTCCACTCTCTCCTCTCTCTCTCTCTGCAGTCCCTCCACTCTCTGCACTCTCTCCACTCTCTGCACTCTCTCCACTCTCTCTACTCTCTCCACTCTCTCTACTCTCTCCACTCTCTCCACTCTCTGCACTCTCTCCACTCTCTCTACTCTCTCCACTCTCTCCACTCTCTCCACTCTCTCCTCTCTCTCTCTCTGCAGTCCCTCCACTCTCTGCACTCTCTCCACTCTCTCCACTCTCTGCACTCTCTGCAGTCTCTCCACTCTCTCCACTCTCTCCACTCTCTCCACTCTCTCCAGTCTCTGCACTCTCTCCACACTCTCCACTCTCTCCACTCTCTGCACACTCTCTGCACACTTTCTGCACACTCTCTGCACTCTCTGCACTTTCTCTGCAGTCTTGTGTGTATGTGTTACTGTGGCACTGGCAGAACTTTAGATTTGTGCTCAGCTCTCCCCTGTTCTCCATTGCAGTGAGCTAGCCATCATCTTGTAAGCTGTGCAAGTAAGAAACAGGCTAGAATGTTACCAGCCACAGCCTGTCCATGCAAATGTATACTCAGTACTCAGTGTGACTTGACTGTCCATGCAAATGTATACTCAGTACATGAAAATAAGAATGGTCTAGGCTACAAGACTGACCTACCCCCCTCCCCCCACCCCCTCTCCCCCCTCCCCCCACCCCCTCTCCCCCCCCATCCCCCCCCCATCCCCCCCCCCATCCCCCCCTCCCAATCTCTGGCAACTGACAGTACTGTAATATGGCATTTATTCAGTCCCGTATACTGGGACAAAATCATTCATGTGATTATTTTGATATGTGTGTGTGTGTGTGTGTGTGTGTGTGTGTGTGTGTGTGTGTGCACATGATTGCGTGTGTGTGTGTGTGTGTGTGTGTGTGTATGTGTCCGTGTGTGTGTGTATGTGTGTGTGTGTGTGTGTGTGTGTGTATGTGTATGTGTGTGTGTGTGTGTGTGTGTGTGTGTATGTGTGTGTATGTATGTGTGTGTGTGTGTGTGTGTATGCGTGTGTGCATGTGTGTGTGTGTTTGCTCTCATCACTTCCCTCTATGCTGTGCGTGTGTAGGCAAGTTTGAACCCATGCCTGTGTTAGCATCGTACTGCGATCACATCGGTGCACCAAGACTACCGGATGGTCAACTGCAGGTTACTGGAAGTGTGAAGAACATACATTTAGAAATTCTCTGGGCACCTCCGTTACGTAAGCTACACACGTGTATTCGTCTCATCATTATACCCGTACCGACTGTATCAGTTTTGTGTTGGTGCAACCATTATGTGTTCATGCATATCCCTGTATGTGTATTGTGTGGTCTTGTGTGGCCATATCCATGCATGTGTATTGTGTGGTCTTGTGTGGCCATATCCATGCATGTGTATTGTGTGGTCTTGTGTGTCCATATCCATGCATGTGTTCATGTGTGTCAGTGTATGTCCATGTATGTGCATGTATGTGCATGTATGTGCATGTATGTGCATGTATGTGCATGTATGTGCATGTGTGTGCATGTGTGCCCATGTGTGTCTGTGCATGTGTGTCTGTGCATGTGTGTCCATGTGTATCCATGAGGATCCATGTGTGTCCTGTCCATGTGTGTTCATGTGTGTGCATGTGTGTCATTGTGTGTCATTGTGTGTCCATGTATGTCCATGTGTGTCCATGTCATGCATGCTAGTTTGTAACTATGAGTGCGGCTTGAAAATAATTAATTGATCTGCTCATAGATATGACTGTATGTGTGGGACTTACGGACATGGGGTATCGGTATGGGGGAAGTACGTTGTGGTGTGTTATATTATTACTTTTTACGGGTGGGGTGGGGGGGGGGGGGTGTTGGCATTGATTAGATACAAGGGTGTGTGAAGACTACTTGCAGCACTACATGTGTTGGTTGTATGCAGATGAGGAGTACTCGTCTTGCTCTGGTTCGGGTGGTATTGTGTTACAACACTCCTGGCATTGAGGCTTACCCTCTTCTTGCCCTTATAGTGTTTCTCCTTGGCCTAGCCGTATGAGAAGACATTCGTTTCTTCCAATACCCGAAACAGCTGAAAAAACAGATCACTGTGCAAAACAACTCCGTCAAATTTCTTCATCCATCAGTTTGAATAACGGTATATACATCTTTTTATATCAGTATACTCAACTTTGAAATGCTTTTTTCTCCACATTGCACACACCGACATGGGCGCGCCGCTTTCCGATCTGGATGCTCACTCATATTATCGTATTACTGCTGCTGTTGTTGGTTTCAGACAACTTGCATCTGGTAATCGGCTATCGTGTGGAGATCTGGGAAGATTTTGAGGCGGCGAGCAGATCTCGGAGTATTGTAGTCCAGTACGACTTGTCCTCGGTGAGTAAATGTTTCGGTCTTTTTTCCATTTCCACATACCCACTCCCTCTATATCCCTCTCTCTGATTTCTTCTCCATCTCTTCCTGGTCTATTTCAAAGAGATTTTTTCTTGCATTCCTGACGATCAGATTCTGTTTACTGGATGCTTGATTGTCAGTCATGCAGAGCTGTCAGGTTTTTCGGGGTCTGAGCGTCCCTTTTACAAAAACCAGGTCAAAATGTTCCCTTTTTGGTGTATGTGCTAAGAAGTTGAGAAAACAAAGAATGAAAATAGAGAAGAGAATGATTCGATTCCAGGAAGGAGCTAAGCCTCTGATCCCAGCATGGTGTATTCGTTGGTGTAACACATCTCTTACCTGCCAAGGTTTATACACCGGTAGGTGTCACCACAATGCCGTGTATACGCCCCCCCCCCCCCCCCCCCCCCACCACACACATATACAGTGGAGTGTACGAGAGGGGAGCTTTCCTTGGCGAAGCACTTTGGTTTGCACGTGTGTGTCCGCATGTGTGTTCATTATGTGTGTGTTGTGTGTGTGTCCATATGTGTTTCCATGTGTGTGTTCATGTGTGTGTGTGTGTGCGTGCGCACGCGTGTGTGTGGTACATGCGTGTATATGCATATGTATAAACATGCGTATGTGTATATACTAGAATAAAGTCATGGGCTCATCAGGGAGTCTGGCATCATTGAAGATTACGACCTCGGCTCAAGTATGTTCAGCTCATGTTACAGCTGCTGAACACGGTCAGTGCGTTGTATCTCGCCAACTCTTCTCATCTTTTTATCTCAACGAAGAGAACAAAGGACTTCATGTCGTTGTAAGTCTGCGCATCTCATCATAACTACGGTATCTGTCTATCCGTCCTTCGTTTTAATAAACCGTCTATTTTCATGATGTACGAAATAGTGGTTGCGACTTCGGTGATGATTTTTTTAGGAATGGGTTTGCTCCCACACTGGAGCTCCCGCTATTCCGCCGACATGACTTGACACTTGACTGACTCACAACTGCCATCCAGAGCACACGAGAAGTCCATCGAACCTTCGACTTGCCAAACCTGCAAGAATGCACCACTCCCTGCTCAATACACAGTGTTTTGGGGAATTCACCCCTCATCAGTTGACCTTGAGTAGACTGAGGAAGATTGTACCTGAAGAGCACCACTTATATAGTGCTCTGCAGGCACAAACATCACCAGGGATACAAACTTACAGAGACGCTCCGCTTCCAGCGCGACAAACACCTTGTGAACACCAGATAGTAGCGTGAGTTAGTGTCGCTCCTGGACGGTGAGAACAGACGTAGAGGACCATCGGTCATTCACAACGCTGTCACCTCCAAACCGGCTAGTCGCAAGCACGCGCTGGACCCAATAGTACGAAATAGTGGTTGCGTTTTCGGCGATGATTTTTTTAGGAATGGGTTTGCTCCCACACTGGAGCTCGCGCTATTCCGCCGACTTGACTAGCCGGTTTGGAGGTGACAGCGTTGTGAATGACCAATGGCCCTCTACGTCTGTTCTCACCGTCCAAGAGCGACACTGACTCACGCTGCTATCTGGTGTTTACAAGGTGTTTGTCGCGCTGGAAGCGGAGCGTCTCTGTAAGTTTGTATCCCTGGTGATGTTTGTGCCTGCAGAGCACTATATAAGTGGTGCTCTTCAGGTACAATCTTCCTCAGCCTACTCAAGCTCAACTGATGAGGGGTGAATTCCCCGAAACACTGTGTATTGAGCAGGGAGTGGTGCTTTCTTGCCGATTTGGCGAGTCAAAGGTTCGATGGACTTCTCGTGTGCTCTGGATGGCAGTCGTGAGTCAGTCAAGTCAAGTCGGTGGAATAGCGGGAGCTCCAGTGTGGGAGCAAACCCATTCCTATTTTCATGATGGCCTGTGAAGAATATGTACTGATCTGGTTCGCTGAATGCTTTGCTCTTTACAGTGTTACAATGTTACAATGTACACGAGTAACACGCAATGTCATGTACTTGCAAGTGAAGCAAAGTTTGCACGTTCACGTTACCACCGGTGATATAATGATTGTATTGAGAAACACAGCCAGCTTAGGGAATTTCGCATGTACCAGGCCACCACCATGCCTGTGATACCACTGGTCCAAGGTGGCAGATGCAGCGCCTAACGGCGAGGGTGAGGTGGTAACTCTCACACCCAATGTCAGACAAGGGGGCGAACCTCGTTAGCTGCATCCATGCTACCTCACTCCCAGTAGTGAGTACCAAGTTGACCGTCGGTTTCGGCGCAGTTCCTTGCATGTAGAGTGGTGCACGCATGCATCACCTTGCATGTAGAGTGGTTCACGCATGCATCACCATGCATGTAGAGTGGTTCACGCATGCATCACCGCATTTGTTAGCACTGTACACGCTCCCTGCTCTCAGCGCTGGTCACTTGTACTCAACTCAACTATATACCTGGAGTGTGAACTGGATCTTTACCAGAAACTAGTCACACCTCCCATTTATGGGGCACCCGCCCCTTGTAGCGGAGCAGTGGGCATAGCTTTCTGGTCGGAGAGTGTGGTTTATGTACCCAGTGTCTGCTCCAGAGCCGGGTAATCCACCCGGTTGGGCGGCGCTTGGACCCGGTTGAAAATATAGTACCGGGTCACCTGTGATCCGGTTGGTACTTTACACGTTCGAACTATGTTACTTTGAAAGGACTGACTACATGTCTTGTACATGTATGTGTGACAGATCATGCAGAGGCCCGCGCAGTTCGAGCTTGATCGTTAAGGTGTTGTTTTTGGAAATGGAGCCTCCAGCGAAGAGGCGAATCCACAGGCCCTGCTTCCAGGACTCTTGGAAAACAGGTCGTGTACCCGGCTCCGACCCGGTTGAAATGGTTGCGCCAGGTACACATGTACCCGGCTGTCCTACAATTCTAGAGCAGACACTGGTACCAATGTCTACCAACAACTCATCATTGATCTGTGCACCTGTTTATGTGTTTTCTCTGCTTATAGATCACGTCCCTTCCATTTTCTGAAGGAAACCATCAACAGCACCAGCAAACTGTGGCCAAGCTGAAAATGCCCAGTGAGTGATGTTAGCATTCAGTGATCATTCTCAGTGCATGGACGGTTGAAGTCCTGTGAATTGTGCATCCGCATACTCACTTTCATAGAAGTCAGACACAACCCGTGTCATCGGTATAGGATTGCCTGTTGGCGCCTCTCACATGACTACATACGTAGCTATGGATACAGTGTTGTACTTGACTGTTCCTACTGTTCCTGCTGTCTCTACAGCTTGTACTGTGTTGTATTCTACTGTTCCTACTGTCTCTACAGCTTGTACTGTGTTGTATTCGACTGTTCCTACTGTTCCTACTGTCTCTACAGCTTGTAGAAGTCTTCACTGTCCAAGATTTCAAGTTTCAACTTCAACATGCCCGTTCTCTTCAGTATCACAATGTAAGATTGTGTTCTTTATCGCTACTTTGCTTACTTGAACATTACAGACACTTTGCTAACGTCATTACAGGTACTTTGCTTACGTCATTACAGGTACTTTGCTTACAGGAACGTGCACTGTCACTGTGAGAATTAATTTTTGTTGAATTACTACTGGTATTGGTTGTGACTGCTGCTCTTTTCCCCAATGTACCTATTTTGAAGAGTATCGGTGCAATCGGTCTCTTGTCCCTAATGTACCTATTTTGAAGAGTATCGGTGCAAGGGGTCTCTTGTCCCTAATGTACCTATTTTGAAGAGTATCGGTGCAAGGGGTCTCTTGTCCCCAATGTACCTATTTTGAAGAGTATCGGTGCAAGGGGTCTCTTGTCCCCAATGTACCTATTTTGAAGAGTATCGGTGCAAGGGGTCTCTTGTCCCCAATGTGCCTATTTTGAAGGGTATCAGTGCAAGGGGTCTCTTGTCCCCAATGTACCTATTTTGAAGAGTATCGGTGCAAGGGGTCTCTTGTCCCCAATGTACCTATTTTGAAGAGTATCGGTGCAAGGGGTCTCTTGTCCCTAATGTACCTATTTTGAAGAGTATCGGTGAAAGGAGTCTCATAAGATTATCCGCTGGCTTCTATGCCTTGGTGGAACTCTGCCTTGGTGGAGCTAGATTGCTGATGTTCAGAGTCAGTGTGTCTCTTCTTGTCTCTTTGTTTGTGGGTGTAGTGAGCGACCAGATCTGCCATTGCCGTAAGTACATTGTGTTGTCTGACATGGCTTATCATCTTGGTGCAGTCTTTGTCATACCTTTTTTGTCTGTTTTCTGGCGTTCATTCTAGCTGATCTGTCTGTCTGCCCCTCTGTTTATCTGTATGTCCGGTCTACCTGTCTTTCTGTTCGTCTCTGTGTCTGTCTGTGTGTCTGTCTGTGTGTTTGTGTCTGTCTGTATGACGTGTATGTCTGTGTGTTTGTCTATGTGTGTGTCTATGTGTCCGTCTCTCTGTTTGTCTGTCTGTGTATCTGTGTGTGTGTGTCTGTCTGTCTGCCTGTCTTTCTGTTTATCTGTCTGTGTGTGTCTGCCTGTCTGTCTCTCTGTCCATCTGTCTGTTTGTTTGTGAAACTGTCTGTAAGTCGGCCAGTATATTCATCCTCTGCTCTATGCTCTGTTAGCATTAGTTTAGTTATCATCATGGAGCTTTAGTATTTAGAGAGACAGCTCAGGCAATTTGAACGTGAAACAATTTGGGGATCTGCCCCCAGGCTGCCGGTTTTAGGCACCTTTTTGTGCAGGTCTGATATACATACACACATTGATATGGTATTACATTGATTATCTGGGCCCGGGTTTGAGGTCAACAGATCTATGCCGAGAGCACGGATGTGAGTTTCAGAGGCCATGGATCACAAAGAGCTTTAAAATCCTGTGTCAAGGCGCACATTGTTTGGAGTAGTATGATTTTCTGATGTCTCCCTGCATGCTAGGCCATCCTGGGTTTCATGCACCGGTTTGCTATTCTGCCAGTAGATCATGACACATACTAGAGAGGTTTCAGTGACTCGTTGTGAACTCGTTCATGGCACGGAATAGATCTTGTTTCGTGTTCGAAGTGTGTGATGCGTAGGTAAGGCCCCGGTCACATTATGGCAAAAATGCCGCGTTAGCGGCTGAATCATGACTTTTGCCATGGCAACTGACGAAAGCGCGGAGAAATTTGAACGATAGACACTGCTGTGTCTGACGCGGGGAAACGACTGCGTTGACGCTGACGGGAGTGACGCTTGGTGGAAAAACGTTGTCTTTCAACTTCTTCTTTTTCGAGACAGTTGCTTGAGTTGAGCAGTCATTCGACATTCGTCTCCTCAAGGTTTGTTTTGTTCCCTCTTTTTTTGGAGATGAGTCCGTGGACCTACGAGGTGTCAGGTGAAACACACTGCGGCTGCAATGCGGACTTTTCTTGCCCGATCCATGACACAACAACATGACGCTACAACTGAACACGACTTCAAATTCGGAAAAAACAACAACGATCATGGACCTTTTGTCTTGTGATAATGACAAATTAATGGGAAATTTGAAACTTGTCCGGCAAGTGTTTTATCTAATGAACAATAGGCCGGTTTCCGTGGGGATCCGTGTTGTCATTGAGTTTCCCTGGTGATTTTGAGATGTAAACGAATGCGTCAGGCCACGACAGTCATGAGGTGCAAAACACACTGTGTAACCCCGCGTCTGTGTCAAGTGCTGCGGCTTGATGATGCTGTGTCCAGCTTCAAACTTGCCATAGTATGACCGAGGCCTAACCAAGACCTGAGCCATCGACTCCTCTCGTATGAAAGAAACGAATACCTGAACCTCTCTATTGTTGGTGATGTGCATTTGTAAGAGTTGTGGCTAATCTTCATATCTCGGTCTTGTAAATCTACTGATTGGGTGAATCTTTCTCATAACGATGCCCTGCTTTGTCTCATGCTATCTCTGTTCACATGCAGCTCCTCTTCCCCTGACCATGGCAACCGTTCAAGCTCTCGTCTCCCATAACAACACAATCTACTTGTGGATGAGGAAGCCATCCGATGATATCTTCATATCAGAAGGAGAGCTCAAGTTTGTAGTGTGTATTCTACTCGTCAGACGTCCGAGACAACATGGTGGTCGACCATGTGATGTTTCACATGAAGTGAAGGTCAGTGAGAATAATATGCAAGACTGTATGCAGTGTGTAGGGGTATGGACATGGACAAGGACAGGATACTAGTATGTATAGAGCTGCTTCGTTGAATCTACACCCACGGGTGTTACATGGTAGATAGCAGGAAGGGTACATTGTGGATGTGCTTTCTCTGTGCTGGGCCATGGCAGTCTCATTTTTGCCTGGACAACACTAGGACGATTTTTCGACCGATATCGGATTGTACGACACATTCTCGAGACGGGAGCGAAAATTGCTTGGTGTGGACGGTGTTGTCACACGAATTTCCGACAAATTTGTGTGTATAGGTAGTCTGACGCAGTCGGCCGATTTTTATGACGGGGTCGGCGTCCGAGCGTCGGCCAAAAAATCGGCTTAGTGGGTGCCAGGCAATACTCTCAGCAATGCTACAGTAATGCTATAGTGTTATTGGCTATGACTACACTGCACATATACATGTGCTACAGCAATGCTATAGTGTTATTGGTTATGACTGCACTGCACTGCACTGTGCTGCAGTAATACTATAGTGTTATTGGCTATGACTGCACTGCACTGCACTGTGCTGCAGTAATACTATAGTGTTATTGGCTATGACTGCACTGCACTGCACTGTGCTACAGTAATACTATACTGTTATTGGCTATGACTACACTGCGTATACTGTGCTACAGTTATGCTATAGTGTGTACTGTTTTGCACTATGACTGCACTGCACATGTACTGTGCTCTTTGTGTTCTTCACTGCATGATTGTACTGTGTTCTGTTCTGGGTTTTTTACACCCCATGTCTTTCATACATGTATTCCTTATTTGTACCCCTACACCTTTTCTTGTCACGAAGCTCAGAATCACTGCATATGGACCCCACTGCACTTATCCATCCCACCCCACTGCACTTGTCCATCTCACCCCACTGCACTTGTCCACCCCAACCCACTGCACTTGTCCATCCCACCCCACTGCACTTGTCCGTCCCACCCCACTGCACTTGTCCATCCCACCCCACTGCACTTGTCAATCCCACCCCACTGCACTTGTCCATCCCACCCCACTGCACTTATCCATCCCACCCCACTGCACTTGTCCATCCCACCCCACTGCACTTGTCCACCCCACCCCACTGCACTTGTCCATCCCACCCCACTGCACTTGTCCATCCCACCCCACTGCACTTGTCCATCCCACCCCACTGCACTTGTCCATCCCACCCCACTGCACTTGTCCACCCACCCCACTGCACTTGTCCATCCCACCCCACTGCACTTGTCCATCCCACCCCACTGCACTTGTCCATCTCACCCCACTGCACTTGTCAATCCCACCCCACTGCACTTATCCATCCCACCCCACTGCACTTGTCCATCCCACCCCACTGCACTTGTCCATCCCACCCCACTGCACTTGTCCATCCCACCCCACTGCACTTGTCCATCCCACCCCACTGCACTTGTCCATCCCACCCCACTGCACTTATCCATCCCACCCCACTGCACTTGTCCATCCCACCCCACTGCACTTGTCCACCCCACCCCACTGCACTTGTCCATCCCACCCCACTGCACTTGTCCATCCCACCCCACTGCACTTGTCCATCCCACCCCACTGCACTTGTCCATCCCACCCCACTGCACTTGTCCACCCACCCCACTGCACTTGTCCATCCCACCCCACTGCACTTGTCCATCCCACCCCACTGCACTTGTCCACCCACCCCACTGCACTTGTCCATCCCACCCCACTGCACTTGTCCATCCCACCCCACTGCACTTGTCCACCCACCCCACTGCACTTGTCCATCCCACCCCACTGCACTTGTCCATCCCACCCCACTGCACTTGTCCATCCCACCCCACTGCACTTGTCCATCCCAACCCACTGCACTTGTCCATCCCACCCCACTGCACTTGTCCATCCCACCCCACTGCACTTGTCCATCCCACCCCACTGCACTTGTCCATCCCACCCCACTACACTTGTCCATCCCAACCCACTGCACTTGTCAATCCCACCCCACTGCACTTGTCCATCCCACCCCACTGCACTTGTCCATCCCACCCCACTGCACTTGTCCATCCCACCCCACTGCACTTGTCCATCCCACCCCACTGCACTTGTCCATCCCACCCCACTGCACTTGTCCATCCCACCCCACTGCACTTGTCCATCCCACCCCACTGCACTTGTCCATCCCACCCCACTGCACTTGTCCACCCCACCCCACTGCACTTGTCCACCCCGCCCCACTGCACTTGTCCATCCCACCCCACTGCACTTGTCCATCCCACCCCACTGCACTTGTCCATCCCAACCCACTGCACTTGTCCACCCACCCCACTGCACTTGTCCATCCCACCCCACTGCACTTGTCCATCCCAACCCACTGCACTTGTCCATCCCACCCCACTGCACTTGTCCATCCCACCCCACTGCACTTGTCCATCCCACCCCACTGCACTTGTCCATCCCACCCCACTGCACTTGTCCACCCACCCCACTGCACTTGTCCATCCCACCCCACTGCACTTGTCCATCCCACCCCACTGCACTTGTCCATCCACCCCACTGCACTTGTCCATCCCACCCCACTGCACTTGTCCATCCCACCCCACTGCACTTGTCCATCCCACCCCACTGCACTTGTCCATCCCACCCCACTGCACTTGTCCATCCCACCCCACTGCACTTGTCCATCCCACCCCACTGCACTTGTCCATCCCACCCCACTGCACTTGTCCATCCCACCCCACTGCACTTGTCCATCCCACCCCACTGCACTTGTCCACCCCAACCCACTGCACTTGTCCATCCCACCCCACTGCACTTGTCCATCCCACCCCACTGCACTTGTCCATCCCACCCCACTGCACTTGTCCATCCCACCCCACTGCACTTGTCCATCCCACCCCACTGCACTTGTCCATCCCACCCCACTGCACTTGTCCATCCCACCCCACTGCACTTGTCCATCCCACCCCACTGCACTTGTCCATCCACCCCACTGCACTTGTCCATCCCACCCCACTGCACTTGTCCATCCCACCCCACTGCACTTGTCCATCCCACCCCACTGCACTTGTCCATCCCACCCCACTGCACTTGTCCATCCCACCCCACTGCACTTGTCCATCCCACCCCACTGCACTTGTCCATCCCACCCCACTGCACTTGTCCATCCCACCCCACTGCACTTGTCCATCCCACCCCACTGCACTTGTCCACCCCAACCCACTGCACTTGTCCATCCCACCCCACTGCACTTGTCCATCCCACCCCACTGCACTTGTCCATCCCACCCCACTGCACTTGTCCATCCCACCCCACTGCACTTGTCCATCCCACCCCACTGCACTTGTCCATCTCCATATCCGTACTAGCAACATTCTGTATTAATGTTTAATCCTTGTAGCTTCTCTTTACTTCTTTTCTGGATTTTTGATTTTTTTGTACACACAATGAGTACAACATAGCAAAGTACAATGCACATTGCACTCTGTCTTATGCTGTTAACCTAAAGCAAGCTGTATGTACACTGTCTTATGCTGTTAACCAAAAGCAAGCTGTATGTACACCGTATTTGGCAAAGTGTCTATAAGCCTTTCTGGAGTCGGATTAGTTTTCTGAACACGGGACTTGAAGTTTAGTCGAAAATGTTAGTTTTTGGTCTCTGGTGTTGGTATGCATTTACATGCATGATCCATGTACACTATGTTATGATCCATGTACACTATGTCATGATCCATGTACACTATGTCATGATCCATGTACACTATGTCATGATCCATGTACACTATGTCATGATCCATGTACACTATGTCATGATCCATGTACACTATGTCATGATCCATGTACACTATGTCATGATCCATGTACACTATGTCATGATCCATGTACACTATGTCATGATCCATGTACACTATGTCATGATCCATGTACACTATGTCATGATCCATGTACACTATGTCATGATCCATGTACACTATTTTTTTTATTTTTTTATTTTTTACTATGTTCACATAACCAGCTCGAAAAGAATAAGGAAAGACAATGGCTATGATACACTATGTCATGTTTGAATACACCGTGTTATGTTTGCTTGGCCCATGTTGGGTGTATTTAGGCCAAGGATTATGTGAACATATCCTTCAGTGGTTTGTTGGATGACGACAACACGGAGCACGCTAGTATATCGGTATGTAACAGTTATTTGCTTGGATTGTTTGAGGGAAAGAGACAACAGTTATTTGCTTGGATGTAATGTCAACGTATCATGTCGTTCGTCAACAAAGAAATATTTTCGAAATACATGTAAAATTTGTGTTTGAGGTTCAAGTTCTGTTTGGAATGTAGATACAGGTGAATTGGGAAAGTGTTGATGCACCCTGGGATTACTGGGACTACTGGGATTACTGGGATTACTGGGACTACTGGGATTACTGGGATTACTGGGATTACTGGGATTACTGGGATTACTGGGATTACTGGGATTACTGGGATTACTGGGATTACTGGGACTACTGGGATTACTGGGACTACTGGGATTACTGGGATTACTGGATTATGGGACTACTGGGATTACTGGGATTACTGGGATTACTGGGATTACTGGGATTACTGGGACTACTGGGATTACTGGGACTACTGGGATTACTGGGACTACTGGGATTACTGGGATTACTGGGATTACTGGGATTACTGGGATTACTGGGACTACTGGGATTACTGGGACTACTGGGATTACTGGGACTACTGGGATTACTGGGATTACATATCCCGTATAATCCCGCCAGAGTGCCCCTACCTCCTCAACGCTTCAGGTGGGGAGCGGAGGATGGCCGAGTCCTACTTGCCGCATTCAGAACTACATGAAAAAGTACTCACCCTACGAAAACTGTTCGTGCATCTCGTACAAATACTTCCTATTGACTGTTTTCTGATTTTCTCAAGTGCAGCTTTATCGAGCCACAATTTTAATTCTATCGCCATCATAATATTGGGCATCAATGCCCGTTTGGTTTGCGATGTAAAATAAAACTTCAAACAAACAAAAACACCGACCAAAGGTCAAGAGCCAGGAGTAGTACAAACCCATCAAAACTCATGCAGGGTTTCTGCGATCCCTGGTCAAGAGGGTGGGCACTGTTGTGTACATTTCCAACGGGATCGAGCACGCGTCTGCAGTACAGTACGGCATCACAGTCATACGAAGATACAATCAATCACTTCCCTGACAAGAAGTCAGGGAGGGGCTGATGGGAGAGACGGGGCTGATGGGAGAGACGGGGCTGATGGGAGAGACGGGGCTGATGGGAGAGACGGGGCTGATGGGAGAGACGGGGCTGATGGGAGAGACGGGGCTGATGGGAGAGACGGGGCTGATGGGAGAGACGGGGCTGATGGGAGAGACGGGGCTGATGGGAGAGACGGGGCTGATGGGAGAGACGGGGCTGATGGGAGAGACGGGGCTGATGGGAGAGACGGGGCTGATGGGAGAGACGGGGCTGATGGGAGAGACTGGGCTGATGGGAGAGACGGGGCTGATGGGAGAGACGGGGCTGATGGGAGAGACGGGGCTGATGGGAGAGACGGGGCTGATGGGAGAGACGGGGCTGATGGGAGAGACGGGGCTGATGCTCTGGCCGGATTTTACCGTATACCTTCACTAGAGTTTGCAGGCATGTGTGTGTGTGCACGCTTTTTTGTTCCAAGTTGTCAGCAGTCAGAACTGATCTTTCAGGACAACGCTCGCCACCGCTTACTTCAACTTAGCTGCTGCAAACACAGTAAATATTCAGCCAGGTTTTAGGATTTCAAATATGTATGTTTGTTGGCTTTGATCGGCATGATACTCCCTGGTTTGGGGAATGTGGGAGTATGCTGGATTTTCATACAGAACTTGATGCAGCTATGTTGCCCTAGCTAATGAACCGGTCCTGGTTTATTCAATACGATTGGTAGTTCCAAATTTCAACCTGTTCATGACTCTCCTCCACATTTGGTCGTCTGGTCGCTGTTTTGTCGGCCAGACAGTCCAAAAACAAGTTCTTCGCCGGTACATCTACTAGGCAGTGGTCAGTGATAGGAGCAAAGTATGTATGTCTCTTCTCCAGATGACTGGGTTTGTCAACACGACTGGTATCAGTTGCTTTGGCGTGGTCTTGGTGTGTACATGAGTGCAGCGAAAAAATATCTACGCTCAGCACACCCATTGTCTACACACAGCACACCCATTGTCTACACTCAGCACACCCATTGTCTACACTCAGCACACCCATTGTCTACACTCAGCACACCCATTGTCTACACTCAGCACACCCATTGTCTTCACTCAGCACACCCATTGTCTACACTCAGCACACCCATTGTCACCACTCAGCACACCCATTGTCTACACTCAGCACACCCATTGTCTACACACAGCACACCCATTGTCTACACTCAGCACACCCATTGTCTACACTCAGCACACCCATTGTCTACACTCAGCACACCCATTGTCTACACTCAGCACACCCATTGTCTACACTCAGCACACCCATTGTCTACACTCAGCACACCCATTGTCTACACTCAGCACACCCATTGTCTACACACAGCACACCCATTGTCTACACTCAGCACACCCATTGTCTACACTCAGCACACCCATTGTCTACACTCAGCACACCCATTGTCTACACTCAGCACACCCATTGTCTACACTCAGCACACCCATTGTCTACACTCAGCACACCCATTGTCTACACACAGCACACCCATTGTCTACACACAGCACACCCATTGTCTACACACAGCACACCCATTGTCTACACACAGCACACCCATTGTCTACACACAGCACACCCATTGTCTACACACAGCACACCCATTGTCTACACTCAGCACACCCATTGTCTACACACAGCACACCCATTGTCTACACTCAGCACACCCATTGTCTACACTCAGCACACCCATTGTCTACACTCAGCACACCCATTGTCTACACTCAGCACACCCATTGTCTACACTCAGCACACCCATTGTCTACACTCAGCACACCCATTGTCTACACTCAGCACACCCATTGTCTACACTATGGCGGAAAAGACATCAAGTAACACAGTGTACCTTGCTCAGTCAGGTGCAAAAAAATGATTATCGAATCGTTTTCCTCATGCGTCACTGGTACAATATGTTTAACATGAGCTGGCACTCTTCAGAGATAGAGTGTTCCCTTGGTTGTGGCTGTATGTGTACCATAGCCACATTTCATTACACATTCTGGACACAGGTTATATATGAGCCAGCACAAGCGAAAAGGGACCTTATCCGTTTTTTGGGCATTTTGAGTTAGCAACGGATTCTTGTAGCCAGAGAACGTATGAATCAGATAAAAAAAACCGAATGAAAATCCATCAACATATAGCAAAGTTACGGACGTTTAAATCAACACTGTTTTCACCAAAACATCGCACATATTCACGAATAATCTTTGAAATGCGTAAATTGCAATAATTTGGCCATAGAAGCCTTACAGAAGCCTTCGAGTCACCAGCAGAAGGGCTGGAGTATACAGTATACACACACTACTGTGCAGTTGGCATAAGTTTCACTGTGATGGAATTTATAGTGCCAAGCGTGACGTCTGATGGGCCATCACGTCCTTCCGTACCACGCAGGCACGCCGCATTTTAGATCTAACAACAAGAATAATAGAATGTTCTGAGGCATGAAGCTTTGACACAGCACCAGACTTTAGCAATTATCAGGCTCAAAACGTGTGTTGCACTACGCAAGTTTGTCATTCCTCCGGCACAGGCGGACACAGCTCATCCTTGTAAGGGTCTGCCACAAACGGCCGGATATCCTTGAACAGGTACTTCTGGCGTTCTTGTGACAGACCTGCTGGGGGCAATACTTGGGGAAGGCCTGCTGCTCTCACCTGCTCAGGTGTGGTATTCAACAGCTGAACATGGTCAGTCAGCTGATGCATGCAGTCGTCTTCTGCTCCTCACTCCCAGCCGCCATCACGTTGCGCCGCAAGTCCTCGCACACCGGGCAAACATCCATGCGAGCCGTCATGAACTTAATATGCGGCAATGTCTGGTGCCAGATGGAGCGGAACGTCGACAAAGATACAAACTTCTTACCCTCCTTGTGGCAGCAGTCGCAGAAGTCTGCATGCACGGACTTGTACGTTTGTGACGCTGGAAGGAAGATAGGTGGCGTGTCGTCTCTGCCACGGAGTGGCGCAGGATGTGGAATTCCAAACACTTCCGCGTGCCGAGTGATGTACTCCACGCAGTACTTCACAACAACAAACTCCAGGACATTGTGTGGCCGTTTGCCTGTGTTGCCGTGCACTAGTGGCACAAGCCCATTCTTCTCCAGGTGGCTTCTGTACCGTTTCAGCCTCTTGCTAGACAGTGCGTACACGTGACGGAACGCACCCACACAAACAGTCAGTCATTGGAATTTGTAGGTAAAACGCTCCCTCTTGCGCTTCTCTCCACTCTCAAAAACTGTTTCAGGATTACTCAAAGCTTCAAGAAGGCCCAGGACCACCAGCTCACTCTCGTGCGACTCCATTTCTCTCATGTTCAGGATCGACGTCTCGATGTCAGCTGGGTCAAATTGCTGCAAGCAATTTTTTGAACATCCGCAGTTCTCTTTTTGACGAACAGTGTCGTCCTCCTCTGCCGGCGCAACAGTCGCTTCACAAGCTGCTGCGGAGCTAGCCTGCGGAGGTTTGGGCTCTGCCTTTCCGACATTCAGCTCTGCTGCTGCGTCGACATCCACTCGCTGCTGAAGAAAGTGTCGCCGTCGTCAGGTTGAACCGAACGTCACTGGCGTCCGACTCGTCTTCCTCACCAAAAACTTCAGCCTCATCTCTTCCAGGAGAGATTTCAGCGCTTCGTTCACGGTGAAACATTTACGATGGCTCATAGTGAACAGCTACGCCGACCAAAGGACTTAGCAGAAAGCGAAGACGGCAAGACAACTGCGCTGAAACTGTGAAAGCAACTCTTTGTCTTTCCGCTCGCGCGTGCGATTTTATTCAGCGGAGGTGTCGACGTGTCACCTGGTCACGGTCGATCGATTTTGATCGCCGATCGGTGGTACGTGGGTCGATTTAGCCAGGGTTTTCTTCTACAGGAGCTGTAGGATACTGGCTCTCCAATACAAAGAATGACTGAGCTCCAAAGAAGTCGCGTATCGCCAAAAAACGAACAGTTTCAAGTTCGATCCGAACGTGACAGCTGAGAATCAGCTGATTCACTTCAAGTGCGGTTTTCTCAAAATCACGTGCAGCAGGATAAGGTCCCTTTTCGCTTGCGCCGGCTCATATGTCTTGAATGACCAGAATGAATGAATGAATGAATGAATGAATGAATGAATGGATTGCCGCCATGTAAACAAATGACTACAATTCACCGCGTTTTAATCATGCCATACCACGTAAAAATGGTAAAAGGGGATCACATGGGATCACATGGGATCACATGGGATCACATGGGATCACATGGGATCACATGGGATCACATGGGATCACATGGGGTCACATGGGATCCCGTACAGCCCCGCGCATACGTGGACCTAGCCTGGCATGTACGTTGAGTGCGTCAATTCTGGCAGGGGAATTAGATATCCCGCTCTTTCTTTAGAATCAACGGAATAGCATTCCGTCGATCCTGAAGACGGGATTTGTGTAATCGAAAAGTACATGTGCCGTAAGTTGCCCCGTATCAAATTCTAGAATGGACTGAATGGTGTATTATGTAGCGTGCCCAATAGTGATATTCTGTATGGTTGATGTGTTGACACTTGCACAGATTATTCATCGTCGCTATGACCCCACCTATCGACTCCACCATCTAGATAGTCCTCAAGTCGTTCTAAACGTGAGACCTCACAGACCAACAACAACGCAAGCTGCCACCAGCAGCCATCCTGGTATCTCCATGGTGACACCAGCGAACCAATCATCGAATGCTGACAAGTCTCAACCCGTTGACCGTCGATGGTTTGATCTGGGGAACGAGGCAGCATCGTCGTTACACACGGGAACAGTACAAGCACCAATCTTAGCAGGTACACTGGCAATATCACCTAATCCCCTTGTGCACATCTTGTGGCCATTGTAATCCGCTGGGAAGTCAAGTGGCAATATCACCTAATCCCCTTGTGCACATCTTGTGGACATTGAAATCCACTGGGAAGTCAAGTGGCAATATCACCTAATCTTGTGGACATTGTAATCCGGTAGGAAGTCAAGTGGCCACGGCTGCAGCCATGAGCACTACTGGTCCATTTCTACAGTGTGTATGTGAAGTGCAGTGTGTGTACAGTGTGTGTACAGTGTGTGTACAGTGTGTGTACAGTGTGTGTACAGTGTGTGTACAGTGTGTGTACAGTGTGTGTACAGTGTGTGTACAGTGTGTGTACAGTGTGTGTACAGTGTGTGTACAGTGTGTGTACAGTGTGTGTACAGTGTGTGTACAGTGTGTGTACAGTGTGTGTACAGTGTGTGTACAGTGTGTGTACAGTGTGTGTACAGTGTGTGTACAGTGTGTGTACAGTGTGTGTACAGTGTGTATGTGAAGTGCAGTGTGAGTATGCGCTATCGCAATAAGGCCTAAGGGCGCCGCTGCTGAGCATTCCACCGGACTTCAATGGCCACGACAGTAGCTTCTGTCTTACTATCGTATTGTACTAGCCCTACCCCTAGCTGCTGCTTCTGTGACGCTATTTCAGTTTGTTTCTACGAGATTCACTCTCTGCAAAATAGGGGTGAAAGTGCAAAGTAGGGGTGACAGTGCAAAGTACGGGTGAAAGTGCAAAGTAGAGGTGAAAGTGCAAAGTAGGGGTGAAAGTGCAAAGTAGGGGTGAAAGTGCAAAGTAAGGGTGAAAGTGCAAAGTAGGTGCAAAGTAGGGGTGAAAGTGCAAAGTAGGGGTGAAAGTGCAAGGTAGGGGTGACATTGCAAAGTGTGGGTGAAAGTGCAAAGTAGGGGTGAAAGTGCAAAGTAGGGGTGAAAGTGCAAGGTAGGGGTGATATTGCAAAGTATGGGTGAAAGTGCAAAGTATGGGTGACAGTGCAAAGTAGGGGTGAGAGTGCAAAGTAGGGGTGAAAGTGCAAAGTAGGGGTGAAAGTGCAAAGTAGGGGTGACAGTGCAAAGTAGGGGTGACAGTGCGAAGTAGGGGTGAACGTGCAAAGTAGGGGTGAAAGTTGGCACTGAGATCCCGAGTTCGAGTACTCTGATTTTCTCCGATCGAATATTCTTTATCTCCTAAAAACTGCACACCAATGGCCTTAATACAACCCTGATTGAACCGAGAGGCAGTCATTTTTTTCGGGGATATTAGTTTTTGGGTCATTTGGGCTCTCTCTACTCGTGAACAAATGCTCACCACACAGTCTGCACATCATTATGCCGATTGCTGCTTTGAAACTGCAGATTTCTGTGGTAAACGCATGTACCATGATGCATGTACCATGTATGAACGAGTACTCTGATTTATTCCGAGTACAATTCTTTTTGAAAAAACCTAGCGAGTACTTGAGTATGAAGTTGAAGACACCACTGCAGCTGTACTTATGGTTGATAAATATGGTGGTAAAGACACACCCGGCAATATGGCGGTAAACACACGCCTGCCCACACACGCTCTCTAGGCTGCAAAGTTCTAGCACAGAGCTCTCCTTCTCACCACCACCACCATCAGTTCGCGCCTGGCGCCTGGTCGATGCATGGTTGGCGGTATCCGGCATAGCAGGCTGGTACATCAAGTAGCGCATGGCACATAGAAGATGACACAGCAACGACATAGCTCGATTGCGACGTACGTTTCGTCCCCGCTGGACTCATCAGGCAATCTTCTTCTCGGGTGTCTTCATACGGAGCTTGACTCGGGAGAATGAAGTTGAAAACACCACTGCATGTCTTGCAGTGGTGTTGCAGTGGTGTCTTCAACTTCATTCTCCCGAGTCAAGCTCCGTATGAAGACACCCAAGAAGAAGATTGCCTGATGAGTCCAGCGGGGACGAAACGTACGTCGCAATCGAGCTATGTCGTTGCTGTGTCATTTTCTATGTGCCATGCGCTACTTGATGTACCAGCCTGCTATGCCGGATACCGCCAACCATGCATCGACCAGGCGCCAGGCGCGAACTGATGGTGGTGGTGGTGAGAAGGAGAGCTCTGTGCTAGAACTTTGCAGCCTAGAGAGCGTGTGTGGGCAGGTGTGTGTTTACCGCCATATTGCCGGGTGTGTCTTTACCACCATATTTATCAACCATGAGTACTTGAGTATTCTGTATAATTATTTCACAAAGTACACTGAAGACTGTGAAGAGATCAACACTCTACTGCTATGCTAACGTTACTACATTGCTCTACAGTCATTGTAAAGGGTTTGAATGTGGAAGTGATGACGTCGTAAGGAAATATTAACGACTTCTGGTTCACAGTAGATGCACTGTGTCCGAAGCAAAGTACTGCCTGTGGTGTGTGGCGGATAGGCCTGTCATGTCATATCTCAGTGTGACTTGTCGTATCTCAGTGTGACTTGTCATATCTCAGTGTGACTTGTCGTATCTCAGTGTGACTGGCAGTGGGTCCCAGACCGGGATAGGCCAGCCCGTTCACTATCACACTATCGGCGGGCGTATCACCCTGCTGGGAAGAGAAAACAGATGCAAGCAGATACATAGGATTGTATGCATACACATCTTAGATACATAGGATTGTATGCATACACATCTTGTCCAGTTGGATTCAAAACTCACTGTGTTGTTATAACTCTGCTCTAATAGTGACATAGCACTTTCAACCCTATTGCTAATTTGTTCCTATGCTAGTTTCAACCCCATTGCTAATTTGTTCCTATGCTACAGTGCGTTTTTTTATAATAGACTCTGAAAACCTTGAGAACGTACTCAAGGACACTTTTGAGAAAATGTCATGCGAGTTG